TTGTCGCATCCATGCCCCCTTCCAGATCCCCTTTATTATCGGTAAGTCTCTGATAGGTCAAAGTGATACAGTCAAACCTCCCGTAAGCGACCACCAAAAATGCAAAGACTTAGTGGTCCCTAACGGGAGGTGGTCGTTTAGAAGAATCGGACCACATGGGGTCTATTCCGAGAAGAGGTCCAGGCACATTCTATTAAATGGCGGTGTAACAAATTCCTAGCAAAATATTATCTTTTACCTCTTTTGACAAATGCAGCTTTTAAATCATGCTTAATTTAAAGAGGGATTCAGGTGAGTGAGATATAGAAAAGTCTAGAATCACAACTGAATCTTCACTTTGTTGGCTACATCTACTCAGTTAGGATATGTGTAGTTCCACGATGTCACTAAAGGTCTTCATATTTTCTAAGGTACATAGTGCACACAGCAAAAATAGAGAGCAGAGAATGCGTCAACTGGTCGCTTATGGAAAACAATTAACCGTGACGCCCAAAAAGTGGTCGCGGTCACTTACAGAAGGTGGTCGTTTACTAGAGGTTGCAACTGTAAGGCTTTGACTGACAAAATTTGGTCTTTTTGGATTGGCGGTCGCACATGGAGGTTCGACTGCGTTAGGTCTATTAGAGTAGAAGCCACCATCACCTCACTGTGAGTGACGAGAGCCAGGAAAGTACATATAGTATACACTCCCTTAGGATACACAGTATCGTTGTTATCGTTGTTTTGAGGTCCCGTTTAGCGAAATGGGTCATTCAAGAGAGGTGCTGAAGTCCCATAGTGAAATTTGTAAGGTTTATGCATGGGTTTTTAGTGCAAGGCGAAACAAAATCCTTATGGCCCTGTTGTTCAAACGTTGGATAGCGCTACCCACCGGAAATCACTATCAAGCGAATAAGAAGAAGCAATTGCGTTACTTATTAGATACAGATTTATCCAGGGGAAAGCGTTAGTCCCGGGGGCGTTAGTCAACTTTTGGAACATACAGCCTCTCAGTCACTCTCCTCCGCAGACTTACCCTTGGCGACCAGGATAGGGGAATATAATACTCCACCTTCCTTGCATCATCGCGAGAGCCTATAGCCTTCACTTTCTTTTGGCTTGTCCTGCAATCCTACCCAACTTTCGTGGGACAGGAAAGTCTGCGCGCGAGGCTTGGGAATCTAGGGAGACTATGGTAGCATGGTGCAAATAGCCGGGATGAGCTACTTTGTCCACACGAACCAAGAGGATTGGGTCTGCTAGAAGAAATCAGGTGTAGCTTTCTGTGATAAGTAATATTCGAACAGTATAGGATCATAGTGTGAAGCCATTTCGCAATCACTAGTTTTCGCGCACCTCTACCGGCGAGTCGTGGACAAAAGCAGCTGATAGCTGTATGCGAACCTTTTTTCCACAAAAATGGTTTCTGGGTTTTCGTATTAGACAGTGTCTTGTATTGATTTTTTTTAATTTTTTTTGTATTGATTTTTTTCTTAATGGAGGTCTATTTTATTATGTTCTGTCTATCTGACCGACTGTTTCTTTGTGTTTTTTTTTTCTTGTAATAACAGGTTTCATAATTTGGTCGTGGTTGGGGTTATGGGCGCCTGATCGTGAGCAAATCGCGAAAAAATCAACAAGCAAAACCAAAGTAAACTATAGCGTTAAATCCGTCGGCCACGGAGAATTGGTATTTCTGCAAGTTCTTTACTACAGCAAGAGAGTATACTCCCTTGACTATCGCGATTGTTAGTTGGGACATTGGGCCGGGGGAACTTAGTATTTTGACCCGGCGTAGGGGAGGAGGGGAGGGGGTACTCTGGCCAGATTCCAAGTCACGGGGATGATCGAAGGATGTTTTTTTCTTGGTTTGAAAATTTTTTGAACAAATCTTTTTTTTGTAGCTGTGGCTTTACTCAAGTATTCAAAATATTCTTTCTTTTTTGGTCTTAATTTTCGCTTCCACGGAACACTCCCGACACTTATAAACCGAGGTACCCCTCCTGTTTAGTACTTCGAAGGCAAAAATACTGTTTCAAAGCCTAGTAGGTGTCTATAAAAGAAAAATAAATATGCATGGCTCTTTCTACTGCGATGAGAGGATTTCTTGTCAAAAAATGTGAAAGCTGTATTAAAACTGCTGACAACAGCTACGAAAATTTCGTGACAGCCTGCTGACGTGACTAAAGCGTGTGACTAATTTCCCGTCACACGCCAAAGGTCATACGATCTTGTGCGATGTTTATTATCAGCCGACAAACGATTGAAGTGATGAAAGGTTTTCAAAATCGAGGTCATTAGTTTGCGATGAATTTTTATTCCCTTTGCCTCCTGACTGGAGTAAAAACTCTTGTAACTCTTGCTTCGACGTGTTGTGACTTTATTTCAATTCACGGCCGGATTCGGACGCAGTTGCTGAGCAAACGTACGTTTGTCTTTTGGCTAAAAATTATATAGTTGTGACTCAAAACGACGCAACAGAAGTTGGAAATAACTTTCCTTGCCGGAAGAACGTGTTACAAGCAATGGTGAGTAATCCTTTCATGTAAAACTTCTCTTTTAGTTTGACAACCATCCGCAAGCCGTCTCATTTGCATAAATTTCCCAATTCAATTGCTCTCATCGCTTGCTTTGGTGTCTGGGTGTCATCCATTTTATATTGATTTTATGATCAAGCGGCATACACCAGAGGCCTTTTTTAATACTCAAAGTTGGCCTTCATTTCCTAGCACGTCTAACGTCACAAATATGACCTCTTTACACTTGTCGATTATAAAAATATAAAGCCTTGTTTATCAAATTTTCTTTTAGGATTTTGAAGAGTAAGAACAAAATAATAATTCGGTGAAGTTTCAATGTCAGGGAATGTTTCTTACGTGTTCACCCTTCCCTCGAAGTTGCCATTGCATCCTGCCGTGTTTTGTGGGAAAAACGAGCATAAAATCGATTTTTCAAACTTTTTCTAATTTCTCCTTTAAAATAAATCGTTTGAACCCAAAACTATTTTTCCTTAAATAAGGTCACTAAAAGGGATGTTTTGGCAAAATAAAAAAAAATTCGATTTTTTGACGAGTGTCTTGCGATTCTCGATTTTCTCAGATAATGGCTCTTAAACGCTGGTCTAGCTTCTATCCTTAAATCGACAAAAGACAATGAATCAAGAGAATTAGGTTAAAAAATTCTCTAGAAAATTTTAGTAACCAGTAACGAGCTTAAGAAATTCAAAATCAGAAATGATGATCTTTGTACTCAGTTCAAGATTCCTGATTCGCTGGGACATACCTTTTTAGAATGCCCTACAAATGTTAAGTTTTATCTTGAAATTTCATCATTGTTTCATGTGTTCAATAGTCCTTAAATCATTTTGTCTCCTGAGCAAATGTTGTTACAGAACTATTCCTCTGGTCCTATAAATGATAACCTCAGACGCCTACTAGATATACTTGTCCTGTTTATTAAAAACTGAGTAGGTATGAAGTTTCAAAGTTAATGAAATACCTCTTAATAGTACGATTTATGAATAATTTAAGGGAACAATTGAACTAGAAAGTTTAGCTTGAACTTATTATTTGTTGGCTTCACACTAGAGCTCAGTTTAATTATAATGTAAGTGTACTTGGAACCTACTTCAACTTTACTTGGTGACCACGGAAATGTTCGTAGTTCAAAGAAGCCGAAGTTCGCTGCCAAGTATGGGCTGCATGCACCACCCTTGAGAATAGACTTGACCAATAAGAAATGGAAACCATGTGCAATATGTGCACGTGCGGCGGCTCCAAGATTCTAATGAACGGAGAGATTGCTTGGCTTCACACTAGGAGCTAAGTATGTTTCAAGTAAGCACTTGATTCAAGTGCACTTGGAAATCCTACCTTGCTCTGTAGAAAACATGGCTTCACACTTGTTGACAAATTATATTTCTTAAAGGTAAAGCTGTCAACTCTCCGTTCATTATATTTTGGACCCGGGGGAGGTACTCCCATACATTACCTATACCGGTATGTGCCGCCCAACGGGGTCGTGATTTTGAAGCTCCTGATTTAGAACGGGGTATCCATTTCAGAGGAGTTTTCTAGAACGGGGTATAATATTTCGAACGCACGAAAGCTCCAGTTTTGTAAGCAGCCATTTGAAATTATTCAAGGACAGATTGCTTTTAAAAATACGGTTCAATGTGTTAACAAGCAAACTGTTGTACTCTTGTTACACCCTGTGTTTTAGCGTGCAAGGCGGGCGTATTTTGGAGTGAGCCGCCAGCGCTGACTCCGCCATCTTGGATAAATGGGCGCACGGAAGTCTGGAACGAGTCCATAATATACCTGAGGGAGATGGAGACGGGCTCAAAAGAAAGGGACGGGGGAGGAGAAGGAAAATCGTTAGCTTACGAGCGTGGTTCTGTGCGTAGTGAGAGATTTTGCGCCATAATTAACCGCATTGTATCCATATGCACAGGAAACGCACCCCGGATGATTATGAAGAAGCATTATTTGATGTATAAGTTGAACAAATAAAGAAATATCTTTTTAAAAAAACAGGGCTATTTCAATTTACAAACTTTCTAGAACGGAGTATAAAAAATTGGCCCATTTCTAGAACGGGGTATCAGTTTTAGGGCGAATTCTAGATCGGGGTATAAAAAATTGGCCCATTTCTAGAACGGGGTATCAATTTTAGGGGAAATTTTTTTAGAACGGGGTGCCAATTTGGAGTCCCGGGCGGCACATACCCACCCAAAAAATACCCAAGTGCCCCCCCGGATTTTGGAACCGCTGCAACTGGCACATCGAGCACATGGTTTCCATTTCTTATTGGTCAAGAGTGTTCTCAAGTGTGGTGTAGCCCATACTTGTCGGCGAACTTCGGACTCCTTAAACTACGAACATTTCCAAGGTCACCAAGTAAAGTTTAAGTAGGTATCCAAATACACTTACATTACACTTGAAGCTCTAGTGTGAGGCCAAGTATTGACTGCTTTTACTTCAAGTAATATAATTTGTCAACAATTGTAAGCCATGTTTTCTACAGAGAGACATAGGATTTCCAAGTGCACTTGAATGAAGGGCTTACTTGAGACTAACTTCGCTTCTACGGTGAAGCCAACAAATGTCGCTTTAACTCCTAACGTGCAATAGCATTGTAAAAAAAATCAGTTAGGTTTATATTATAGTACAAATTGTAAGGAAAACTATTTTATGAACATTAATGCAAAAACTCTGGCGTAAATATACATTTTTTTCTCTTTAACTTTTTCCTTTTTGTGGCATCATAGCAAGACCAATTCAAGACAATGTTGAGCCAGTGCTTTGGAAATCGATTAAAATACTTAATTTTGGCCTTGACACATGCATTATTCTGCTGGAAATCGGGTCTTCAGCTAGTAACGAGAAAATGAGCAATTCTAGGATCACGTTTGTATAAAACAGGCTTCCGACGACGTTATAAGTTACCAACCAATTTTCTCCAAGTTTAATTTGAAACGCGTTGAAAGGCTCTAAAATGAACTCGCACTCTAATGCAAAATCGTAAAGTTATGTCCAGTTTAGGTTATTGGTTATGAAAACTCGTTTATGGATCCCAATCTTCGACCACTTCATACAACTCATCTTCGTAAATATCCATGTTGATCAGTTTCTGAAGATAGAAAAATTCAAAAACTGAGACGGTTATGTGCTATTGAGTGGTCTAGAAAAAATCAGACAGTTACAAAAGCGAATATGATGCAGTCGAAGCGCAATAAATTCCGGTATGATTAATAGATATCCTAGTTTACCTTATGCTGATTTTCCATGTCTTTCAGTTGCGTTCTTAAAGTATCAAATGACGGCCTATCTTCCCATTCTTTTTCCCAACAGTTCATCATAATTTGATACCTGAAAAATATAAGAACTTCCCATCTTAATTCTTCGAAAGACAATGATCACATTGGGCATCTTGAGGTAGCGGTAAATTAGGCGAGCTGTTAAGTGTACCAAAAATAGATGGGTTATGCTATATTTACACCCTAACGTAGGCGTGGATGATTATATTACAAATAAAATAAAGAAATAAATAAATAAAATAAATAATGATTTGGAGGTAGCACATCCACAAAGTGGTTCTTCGTCTACCTGATTCCTGGTCGAATTGGAATTTGGAAATGATGGTTTCTGAGGAGAGGGGAAAACCGGAGTACACGGAGAAAAACCTCTCGGAGCAAAGGAGAGAAGCAACAACAAACTCAACCCACATATGGCGTCGACGCCGGGGTTTGAACCCGCGCCACATTGGTGGGAGGCGAGCGCTCTCACCACTGCACCATCCCTTGCTCCAACAAGCTTCGGACATCGACGTTGTGCCAAATACCAAAGCTTCCTGAAAGCCCTGAGGCAAAGAAGGTCTTCAGGAAGTTCGTCCGATCTCCAGGGCTCATGCCAGTTCCTCTAAAGATGGTTAAATATTAACCCAGAGTTTAGGCAAAGTTTCCTCTTCCAAGAATATGCGACCGGAGCTTATGATAACACAAAATGATACTCTAACAGTCTATAGGAAAATAAATAGGAATCGTCGATTGAAAGCTATAATCCCACTACGTTATAGGCCTTTCGAGTACCGGGCCCAGGGCTTTCAGTGTTGCCCTAGCTAGGACAATTATATAGAGGATATTATGTGTTGCCTTAACCGTGGTCAAATGTTCGTGTGGTCTATTACTGGAGGGGAAAATTTATTCACCATTAAAAGTGGGCAAGGATGTATAAAATAGTTCACCAGCTTAACAATCTTGTTTACAGGAGACTTTTTGAGAGCATTACATTTTTGTGGCATTAAGGAAACGATAAAGAGGGTTAACATTGCCAGAAATTAGGGACAAGATGGCGCTTGCGCGTGCGCACTAAAGCCATAATGGCTGCGAATTCGTACAAGAAAATGTATGGAGATAAGGAAACTTGTTCAAATATATCGACTATGAGCTTACGGGTCTTCGGTGCACGACTCGAAACATGTTAAGTGCTGTGTAACCTTTGCATCTGGGTTAAAAATGGCTAATTAGAAGTAGGTTTACTTACTTCCCGAAGTGGCCACTTTCATCTCCCGTTGTACGCTCCATTTCTCCATACATTGTCTTAAAATCTTGCCGAAGTCACGCGAAATACTCGTCGATTAGAGGATAAACCCTTCAATGAAGTAAATTTGCACGACTCGATATCACTTCTGCGATCTAAGATGTTTCCTAAACAGTCGTAAAAAGGACGATTTTGACACTGCAAAATACTTCCAAAGGCGCATTATTTCCCTCAGTTTTCCATCTGTAGTCCAGTAATGGACGACATAGTTGCGAATGACACATTTCGGTCGGGCAAAGCTTCACAACTCCAAACCTCACCGAATCGCCATTTTGTTTGTTGCTACAACTCCAGAGATGCTTCACGGGATATAAACTAGGTTCCAGGCATTCAAAAATCCTCGATTAGCCTACCAGGCTTGGTTTTAAAACAAAATTGTCACGAAAATGTCACGAAAGGTACATCCGCGTACTGTTTTGTTGCTATCAGCCGCTCGGCCGAGTATAAACCTAACATTTTCTTGCAAGGTGTTTTATTCCAGCTTTTTTCTTCGTAAAACAGATCCACAGAGCTCAAATTATTTAAAAAATCGCAGGGGATACGCTTTCCCTGACTACGATCGTTTTTGTCCGTCATTTTGAAAATGAGATTCCGCTGACAATTAATCACGGGCGCGAAGTGTCCACGATTTCTGGCAATGTGGGAACAATACTGCGACAGAGGTTGACTGATCTAGTCTGCTTAGTTCACTACCTTCACGACATATTTCACTATCATATAAAGGGTTGTGCTATATCGTACTAAAAAAGAAATGCATGGTTAATGAATTCAATAGAAAGCAATTTCTATTTACATGCGGGAAAATGCAGAAAATAAAATCTTTCTACTTAAATTTTTTATGTACAATTTCTCATCCACGTGCTGTGGTTTAGGCATCCTGTATCCCTGACGAAGCAAAGGAGCAAGGTCCCTGCCACGCTTCCTTGGATAGGGCGAACCACCTAAAAACACGATTAGAAAGTATAGTATTGATTGTCTATTTTCGTTTTCCAGTCCCGATATGCGACAAGTTAAAAGCCACCTACAAGTTATATGGCATTCATACCTACTGTAAAAATCTCGTATAGAACAATTCCATAACTCCATCTAATTAAAAACGAAAAAAATGATATAAATCAGAAGGCAAATTATGGTAAAAATCAAAAAATAATAGAATTGTAACATAGCATTTTTTTGGTCTGAAACGTAAATAAATAGTTTAAATGAAATATGCATATTTTGATAAAATGCTATTGAGAACAGTTTGCTTCAACGATCCTGAAAATTGAACTACAAATGTAGCTTAATGGCCTTAGCAATATGAGACATTTTAGAAGTTCATATTTCCTTCACGTGACTGATAATTGACAATTAACGGTCAAAACATTTACTGTAAAATGGGGAAAGGATATTGAAAGAGCAGCAAGTTCTTTTGCATTGGGCACAGAGGCTATTAAAAGGTTCTGAAAAATTCGCCTTGTATGTGTGTTTAGGTTATATAGGAACTCGGTAAATAAGGGGAAAAAGTCACGTGACTTATTAATTACTTAAATAGCTAGTAGGATAAATAACATTTCCGATCATACAAGACCGATTTACGATTTACACTGTTTATGTAACATTTTGATTAAGGTTTGCAACCTTCCCCGTATAGGAAAACGTTTTTTGTGACGTCATTGACAAAGCAATGTCACGTGTTATTTAAAATCGTGTCTCACATGTTTTTTCGTTGAACAAAATATGGATATTTAATTAGGTAGTCATGCTTCAAGTGGCCTGAGTAGGTCTATTAAGGCTCTCGGATAACACTTACTTAATGTAACTGATTAAAAACACTTGAATGCCCGGGAAATTTGAAGTCAATCAATAATCTCGTAATTTAAAGTTGTTTGTCATTATTTTGTTAGGGAATTTTGTCCTTTCATATAACAATTTATTACCTGTACTTCAGTACAAAACCTTCTAAATTTTATCTGCTTGACTTCAATTTTCTCTATTTCAAAACTAGAGCTCGTATAGTTTTTCCTACTGATTTTATATTTTTGGTGAAATCTTTGCCATTTTTGTTATAGAACATCATTATCTCTTAAGAGAAATCTTTGATAATCTATAACCTTTCTATACAGCTATTTATTAAGTGTTGCCAGTGAACTAAGAATTATTAATAAACCAATCCAGCGAGTTTTTACCTCCGTTCGTTTGTTGATAGACCGTACATATACGTGCATACACACATACTAAAAAATCAAAGTATCAAATACACACAGAAAACCTTAAACAACGGATTTCTTAGTAGCCTTATAGCCTCCAGATGATCATACTGTCACCAAATTTTGGCAGCTTATTTTTTGGGTTTACAAAAAAAGAATTCTACTTTGGTATAAATAATATTAATTTTACGTACACATCGCTTTTAATTGTATATCTTCGATTGTGCAGAGCCTCATAAGCTGTCCATTTTAACGGCAGGGGACGACTCTAGAAATTTAAAAAAAAAGGGGGGGGGGTTAAATATTGGTTAAAAGATAAAGCATCACACAATTTCTGTTTTCAATTGCAGAAAATTTGAAATATGTTATTTTCCTCAGGGGTTGGTTCTTCGTAATGTGGCTATGGTACTTGAAAACTTCAAAGAAACGTTGTCGAGGGCTATAAGAAGCATCACTTACTTTTCCCTGTTTACTCAAGGTTGGCCATTAAGACATTTTGTAAACGATTTTCTAAGGAAATCTTACACATATATCGTTCACGGATTCCATCTTTAGACACAACACTTTTTTCAATTCCTTGCTGCGGGGAAAAGAGACCTCCTCTAGCAGGGATGTTTTTCTATCATTTTTCAGAGACGTTTAAAATTATATTATATTTACAGCTCTTAAAAATGTACTAAATCACTGTGTCAGGCTGCGTAGTAGAAATTCAGAGCCTAAATCGAAGTACGTAAATTGTCAAATGTTCCCACACAACTTACCTTTGTTTTCCTCCTATAAATATCTTCGCCATATAACTCTATGGCCATTCCAAAGTCAGTCACTTTGCAAGTTTCTCCTTTTCCAACCAGCACATTTCGAGCTGCGAGATCTCGGTGAATGATCTTTAATTACAAAACATGTAGCCAAAGTATGAAAAAATATAAATTACTGTATGTAAATTGTATAGCCTGGTTTCCATATAATCTGTAACGGTCTGCAGAGGTTTGCACACTAGCAGGTCTGTAGAGGTTTGCACACGAACAGAAGCTTTCTGTGTCGGACACATCTCAGGAAAACACCGTGGACATTTTTTCGACCGCAGTTCAGTACACAAACTCGTGCTCGGTATCAAGTGAAAATTCAGGTACACCGTTTTGTGATCCGAAACTAATTTACGGGGAGTCTAGTGTTTGAAAGAACCACACGAAGTCATTTTGGCGCTTCACTTCTTCGGTCAATTCTGCAGGTTTTTGCCCCATCGAGTTTCGCCCTCGCAGCAATCTGCAGTCGTTGCAAGTTTTTTGTTGATCAAATCGATCAGGTCTTGAAAAGATATCATTAGAGTTTCCTTTTCTACAGTTTGTTTCGTTAGAACAAACAACGCTGAATCGAAGTCAACAGTGAAAGGCACCTTACAAGACAAATGACTCATTGACGAACTCAAGCAAAACTAGCAAGGAGAGAAATGATCGGACAAACGACAACTGGACTAACAATTAATAAAATGTCGATTGTAACCGTGAGAAAAGGGACATCAAAACTCGCCAAGCACATTTAGAGTCTTCATAGCGGAGCCTCCGCGCGCGCGAGGCGCGCGCAGCGGAGAACAATGGGTAATAAAATTTGGTAAACCATCCATCCGAGAAAATTTGGTTATGACGTCACCGTACGTCCGTCCGTACGGACTTTCCGGGTAGGGGTAAGTAGAAACAAATTCCTCCCCTCTCCCCCAGAGAGTTTTGTCCTCTATTGCTGGTTTTCAGTGTCACGCCATTCAAAATAGATCAAAATAAAAATCAAAACTGTTCAATAGATAAAGTCCAGAATCTGGGAGATGAAAGGAGGTAAATATGCAAAGACACTCGCCAAGATTCAGGTCAGAGGAATATTTCGTATACGACATATTCGAAGAAACGTTTTACCAAAATTTATAGACATTTGTATGGAGACGCCATGCGGGTGCTCATCCGCATGGAGGACGGAAACCAACAGAAACATCTGTTACCGAGTTTTACTACGAAAGCGTAATTTATTCTTCAAAGAACTCATAAACAGTAATGTAATACTTTTTCTAATACATGAACTGTTTCCCTGAATTAAATCATTTTTTTAACGTACATGACAGCTCCCTTGGCCGTTATGTAATTGCCGCGTCGCGCAAAAGCTTAGAAATTCAAGCGTACTCTATCACAAAACCAAGAACCCTTTTGAAGCGAAAATTTGTATGAAAACACTGATTAGTTTTCTGCTCCTCTAATACATCATGAAAGTAAAATCTCGGTAGGATCGATAGTTTTGTAGTTTGAATTTTAGTGACGTCATGTGGAAACCAGCACTTCTTTCAAAAGCCTTTAGAAATGACTGACAAGTCAGAACCTGTCAACTGACCAAGTGTTTGGCGGATTTTAGGGGCCGACCATTTGACTTTTGAGGGGGTTATGGGTGATTTCAGAAAAACTGTCCTGCAGACCGATTTCGAGAGGAAAAAAGCATGCAAATAAATCGCTCATGACGTATAATGCTGAAAATAAAAATCTTATACCGTTATATGTCGGGGAAAAAGTTTCTAACTCCAGAGAAGTTTGGGAAAAATTGTTCCAATACAAACTAAATCAGTAAAATCACCCATACCCCCCCACAAACGTCCAATGGTCATGTCAACCATTTAGGGGGTGAGGGAAGAAACGGATTGGACACCTTTGTAAATGTCATCCATCAACAAAATGGCTGGCGCGCGTTCATGATGTTGTGGTTTTCAAGACTAAAGTTTTGCATTTCAAGATTAAAAATACGCCGATAAAAGACACAAATGGAAAGAGAAACGAAAGCTTTTCGCTATGAAATTGTCTTTCGAGGAATTCAACCTTGTTTTCTATACGGCAGATCGGAGCACTTAGCCTGTTTTGAACCAACCAAGGCAGCGAGGTTTCTGACGACACTTGAGGTACATTCCGTACGCTATAATCAAAGAAAAGTACGTTTTTAAAAAGGAATTTTTTCTACATTTTGACATCGGCGTGAAAGAAAAACCACAAAATGTGCATTTGAAATTGATTTTTTTTACCATGTGCTCGACCGATTTAACTTGCGAGAACACAACGATTTAATTTGTCTTACGCGATTTGCTTTTAAGGATTAACTTATGGCTTTTTTGAACAAAAAATTTCAAGAAATTAAGTTAATTATCTGTTATTGTTCATTCATAATTACATTAGTTCAAAAAACGACCATGAGACTACAGATCGTGAGATTTTTAGAAACATTCAGACGGGCCTTTTCTTGAATTAAAACTGAAGGGTTGTTTTTGTACATATTCCGCATTGAATTGCTATTCATTTTCTCATTCATTACTTGCCATTCAAGAACTTTGCAGTGTGTAGAATTCAAGAATTTCTGCAGTTTTGCAGTGTGCAGTGTGCTGCTCTTTTTCCATAACTTGTGCCCTGAATACTGACCTGAATACCGCTTGAATTAAGTTAACTGCGTTTGTTTTCAGATGTTTGTTTATGACTTTATATTCTCACTGAAAAAAGTGAGCTTATCCAAAAAAGGAAAGAATTCTCCTCAATTCTAAAATAGACAGACTCGTCGGCTTTTTTTTTTTTTTTTTTTTTTTGGAAAGGTTGTAAGTTGCTGTATTAACGTTTATACTTGTAGTGAAAGATTGACTATTGTTATTAGTAGCGAAAAAGGTTATCGTTTGCTTTCCTATGTCTGTCCTCAGAGAAAATATTATACACCTTACGGTAATTTTTTTTTCACATATTGTGAGGTATAAATGTAAAGGCTACACATAACTGTTCGTCTGGGCCCGTTTAAAAGAAGAAAAGAAAAGAAAATATAATGGACTTTCGGGAAGACAAAAGTCTTTAAGTCGAACTGATTTTTCTTTGAGGTCTTCCCTTAAACACAGAAACACCAACCCTAGAAATCGTAACCTGTAAATTGCTGCTACTTAAGAGACCTACAAATTAGCAATTTTTTCAATTCAGGTTTGTTTGCGGGATACTTTTTCTTAATCATTTAGTCCCTCCCTCTAAAGGTGTCTGATGAAGAAGGTTCTTAAGGATGTGAAGAGTTCTTTTTTTTTCTGGCTTAGAGTTCATGTTATTACTTTAATTTGATTGCTTTTACCATAAGTATAGAAACGGAGGCTTCGCTTTTAGCCCTGGCTAAATCTAAATATTAGCCAATAACTGGCAGACAAACAATAACATCACAACTTCATACACCAATCAGGTCATTAACCTTATTTCAATACCATCAATTGACGTGATACAATTCACTTTGATTCTGAAGGTGACTACCGCACAGGTTGTCGAAATGTCAGTCAGCACTAGACTCACCGAGAAGATCATATTCCAGCTACTTAGATTTGTTTTTATTAACCTCGCCAAGACTACAAAGTAAGTAATACTGCAATGACCGTAGAATGAAACATTCAGTGGTTTAAACTAAGGAGAAAATTCATGCCAGTAAGTTACTGGAAGAAGATTCAGTTGAATAAGACCATCTGTATAAGTCTCTTGGCAGTAAAACGACGGGTTAGTAATGGTAAAAGGACTGAGTAGGGTACAATTCAGGGAGTAACTGGGCGTGTAATTTCGCGCAAGGCCGATTTGAAATTATAAGCTGGAAAGCCTGCCTATACAGAAGCCATCATTTTTCATTGATTCTGATTGGTTATCATGAACTATGTAATTAAATTTCATTAGCTAGATGCGGTTAAATTTCATTGGTTGTTTACTGTCCCATTTGACCTGTCCGATTACAAGCTCCTGGAAATCGGAGAGGTCAAATCGGACAGTTTTGGAGTCACAATTAGCAAAATTAAGCCGTAAATATGGGCTGTAACAAATCAGATTCCAGCATTTTGTTATTGACACAATTAAGGACATATTTGGAGCCCAGGTGCTTAATCCGCTCCATCTTGCAAGTTGTTTTAAAAGATCCTTACCGATCGTGATGAAAGATAATTCATTCCGTCGGCAATTTGCCAAGCAAATTTCATCAGTTGCTGTGACGTCAGATTTGTTTGTGGCTTGATGTCCGGGTCATTGTAATAGGTGTCATTTAATCCACGGCTCTTTCTCAGGTAACCCAGGAGATCGCCATAAGGGACATATTCGATCAATACCAACAGTGGTTCTGCAAAATTAAAATTAGAAAATAGCCCTTTATTCAGAGGACCGTAGTCTTTTTTCTTAGTAGCAAAAGTACTGTTCGAAACAAAGCGAAGGAAGAAATACAGGGAGTCTTTTAAAAGGCTGCGGGGAACACGTCACCGCTCTATGAATAAATTCATATTATAACATAGCTAGAAAATTCGCCTAATCAAATTCAATAGCGCGAGCGTGCTTCATATTCCTATTGAGCACGCTGATGACGTCAATAAACTATTCGTAATTCCTCGAGTGGTTGTGAGCTTAGCAATCCTGAGTCTCCTGAGTGCATCCATAACTCAGCAATAGACAAGGAAGCGTTTACGATGTGTTTTATAAGGAAATTTAAGAGGAAACGTTTGAATTTGTTAACCGATAGTAAGGAAAAGAGGTGAGTGTTGTTGTTGTTGTTGTTGTTATCTCCGCGAGCTGTGCGGGCTATGGCGTGAGTTAATTCTTTGCAAACTTGTTTTCTCTCAATAACAATTTTTCGGTAAATTAATAGTTTTCCGGCACCTAAATATGGATTTTATAATCATTTTAGAGTACAATTTCTCTCAGTTTCAGGATAAAAACATAAGATTAACTGTGAGGAAAAAAAAATATAGTCACGTAAACATTGACGCGTACTGCTTTGAGCGCGCCCTACAATAATAAAATTATAAGTTAACTGATGCATTGATCGCTTTGATGATGTTATAAAACAATTAGTTCATGCTGCAGCTGTGCGTATGTCGAGTTATTGAGCACTTGGGAAGTTTGGAGAGCACTCAAGAGGCTAGAGTTGCACTCGGCTGCGCCTCGTGCAACTCTTACGCCTCTTTCGTGCTCTCCAAACTTCCCGCGTGCTCAATATCTCGACATACGCACGCTGACGCATGAACTAATTGTTAAAGGCAAAATTTTGCTTGTGTTGCATCTTTTGAAACGCTTATGTCTCGGCTAGAGGCAAATTTGAAATGATGGAAGTTTAGGAGGGTGGTTTTCTATTTGGTAGATCGTTCTTTGCAGTGATCCTTTAAAGCCACAGTTGTACCAAATCAGTTGGGAGGTCGAGATGTTCTGTCCAGGTTTGCTGGAAAAGAAGACAGAAAAAGAAGAAAAAGAAGACAGAACTCTGTAATTTTATTAGTAAATGATCGGTCAAAACCTCTAGTGTGTTATGTATTGAGCAGATTTTGAAAATTAAAGCTGGCCAGCAAGATATAATCGTTTAAATGGGCAAAAACTGTCATCGCTGAAGTTAACGCCTTACCTATGATCGCTTTATAAAAGCGCTGTTTTTGGATTCCGCTCAATACACAACGCACTACAGTCTACCACAAAGTTTACCCCTCTGCAGTGCCAGCTGGTGAATGTTTGTATCTGCATGGGATGAATTCTTGGACACAAAATTGTCCGAATAGTCAAATTTTGAGATTCCTGAAAGTGTCCGGACTAAAGCACGAGGTCCAAGCAAGATATGTAATTATAATGGTGAATATGATTAATAACATTCCAAGTTTTCATTTTGTTTTTAGCTGCAATGTTTTCAAGGATTTTTGAGGCGAAAAAAAAGCGTACAAAGATTCTTGGTATTAAATGTGGTTGAAATTTCTGAAGATTCCCTTTATTCATTTTCATATTATTAAAAATCACTGAAACAAGATTTGATTCACAGCCCGTTTATTACTTTTGAATAAACACTTTGTTCGTAATCTGCGTGCCTCACGTGCACGTGAACACTTCAAATCATGCGCTCATCTTTTATCCAGTTAAAAATATCCCGTAAGCCTGTCGATATCAGTCGTTATACTTCTTGCATACGCTTTAGATAAATGCATAACAATGAGCCTACGGTGTCCCCCGTGACCTTAATGCATTGGGTAACATGTAACCAATAGCTTAGTGATAGGCTAAGAAAAGTGTTACTTTTTAACCTCTAGTCATAAATTTAAAACGTTAGCCACAATTAGTTGTTAGCCTCAGGTTTTTTCACAAGGACAGTTTCAACGTCTTCAGTTTGGCCGAATTCAGGTGTTTTCTTTTGTGGATGATGGACCCTATCTCAGCCTTCTTTTTCTTTAGAGGAATAACCAATGAAACTTGATAACTAATTTTAACGATTGGTTAATTGTTGACAATTGCTTTTTCTTCTTTCAGGCGTCTATAAGCCGTAACGGTGAGAAATAAACCGTTAGCAGTATAGAAAGCCAAACTATTTTAAACCATTAATTGTAAACGCGTCCACACCATCCAGCCCCTCAATAAAGTTCTATGTGGTATCCCAATTTAGTTACGTTTATAGCTGGATCAATACATGCAGTACCCGTTTCAGTGACACATCCTAAAAGGCTGATGACATGCTTGTGAGGTTCAAGTGACTTCATTATCTCTAGTTCCTTTTCCAAGTCCTCCTTATCAGACTCGAGAGCTTCACCTAAGCAAGGAAAATATATTAGTAAGGAAACAGTCACGTATATGATGACAATCATGGCTACTCAGGGAAGCCTGTTGCTGTTTTAAATATAGGTGCAGTAAACGGCGCAGTGATCCATGCATGGAGAACTTCGTTTTATAACATTTTCCGAGAAATCCTTCAGCAATCATTTAGCAATAATGTGAACAATTTTCATAACACTAAATTCGAAATCAAAGCCAGCTTAATGGAGCCCACTTTTGCTAAAGAATAGCGTCCAGGGAAATATTTTGCCCACAGCTAGCAATTCCTTCTGGATTAAACTTAAAGTTGCTTTGGAATTTTCAAAACGTATATTGCTCTGATGCAAAAAAAAAGCCACGAACTCGTTTTTTGGAGGGCCAAGTTGATTGACACCGTTCGATATTCTCGAATATTCAGCAGTTTTGGCTCATAGTTATTCTCATAGCTTACACAGGTGTTACAGTGTATATCAGTATTGCTTCTTGCTGTCGAGAGTCGCTTCAAACTTCAAATTGGGTCCTGGGATTCTAACCTACTCTGTATCAGAGCTCAGATGAAAAGAACCTGAGAGACAGTTCTACTATTAATACAAATCGACAAAGAAAACAAACAAACAAAAGACAACTCAAGTGGAACCTCTAGCCGCAGATGGGTTGTTTCAGTGCAAAGTTTTGAACGACGTCATTTCAATGGTCGATAAGAAAACAGACCATGGAAAACTGTTGTCGATTTTTAGACCTTAGCAGGGAGCAGACGTCAATGGTCCATAGGTCGAAACTGAATAATGTTGCAAATTTCCACATTATCATAATGCTTCAAAAATGCCACGATTATGTTACCCCTGTAATTTTTTTGTTGACACGATACAATGTCTCACGACGTCTTTTTTTTTTGATGGCAAATGAAAAAATGTATTGGAAAACTGTGCTGATCAGGCCTTATTATTGAACACACTTATTTGGTATTCGCGGGTGGGATCCTGTTCAGTTACATCCCCTTGCCCCCTCATCAAGGTGCTATTTCTACTGGGAACTACCACACGTGCTTAAATATTGCAAGCTTCAAAAGAATACAATATTGCACCAGGCAACTACAATAGAATGCAGTCATTGTTAATTGCGTCAGCATGTTAATGAATCAATACTTAAACCAACCATAGAAAAAGATATATTATAAATCCATAGCTTTATGGTTAACAATGGGTTAAAATAAGTGTTAATGAATTAAAAGAATGTAATAAAATGTAGGTAAGAACTTTAGTAAGATGGGACATGGTATATGGAATTCCTTACGTTTGAGCATTTTAACAGCAACTGTAGTCTGTCCAGGCCTGTTTGGAAGATCCGTTGCAGTTCCCTTGGCTACCTGACCAAAAGCACCGTTACCGATAACCTTCTCTACATTCACCTGACTTCTTGCAACTTCCCAAGAACTAGTTGATTGATGAAGAATTGTGTAATCAGCATATTCTGGTGGATTTTGCATTTGGGGGTCACGTCTGCTTATTTGATGTGTGGAGCTGTATCTATTTCGACTTATATTTTGTAGCTCCATATTTATGGGCGAAGGTTCAGATACAGAAAATTCCTGTCCGACGTTGTTACTTGGACGATCTGTGTTGTCTCTTCCTATCTCATTCTGTGGAGAAGAAGTTGGAAGTTTGTAGGATGGAAATTTCAGTATTAAACTTTATGCAAAGATCCCATAAGTCTTATATCAATCTATCCTCAAGAAAGCTTGCAAGAACTCCTCTCTCTAATACAACGGTGAGGGACGCCGATTTTCTTGTGGGTCCAAGAGTTAATTGCATTGCATACACACGACTTTTTAGCTCTCTTCTTTGCGTGATCCATTAAGAAGGCTTAAAAGGAGGAGTTAAGTTGGAGAAAAAGATATAGGATCCAAGGTGCTGATAACAGGCAACTTATCCTGACATCTGTAAATCAAACCCACATTCTAGCCAAACGATATAATTACTCACGTAATAGCTTTCTCTATGATCAGAATGCTCCTCATATGTCATTCTACGTATAAAAGGGAGACGAGGAAAATCAGTCCTTTTTTACCCTTTCACTAAATTTGGATCATAACGTCTACTGTTTTAAACAAAGTTTCCTTTTGTAGTAAGCCTATATGTAAAAATTCCATTCGACACTTTGGAAACCAGAAGGGAAACTGGGCCCAGTTAACTTTCCGGCGATAAACTATTGCGGGATGCATTGTGGTTGCAGTTCCCTTCTCGTTTCTAAAGTGGCCAATTTCCTATTCTTTGACTCCCTCGAAATAAGGTTATCGAAAATTTGGTTGCCGGTCTTATAATTAACAATTAATGAATGAGGCTGAGTATCTTATGAAGCTAAGAGTTATGGAGATCGAGGAAGGTGATAACACCCTACGAGATCTCCATAATTCTTCATACGATACGAAAGCCGAATTCAATAATTGTTTTATTATCCATTCAAAATAATCCCTAGTTTAAGAACATAGCTAAAACATGCTTACCTCCATCGACGTTAAGTTCATCTTAGATAGTGCACGTTTTGGGTTGTTCAGTACCGCAAATATTCTCCAAATAGCAGATGTCGCCCTTTGAGTTGTCTTCTTGCTGTTCTTGTCACGTTTTTAGCTATTATTTCGCCTAGTTCTTACTCTTGAAACGAGCGAAATGTCCGCCATTTTTGTTTTTACAACCAAAACAACTCAACCTTGTCCCGAGGTCTTCTCCGTTAACGGTGCATTAACCTGCAAGGAAGCTGCACTTTTGACGTCATCGGTAGATTAATCGCAAAATTCTTCCAAATTTGGTCATCAGTAGCTGGTTATGGTAAATTATGCGTGTGCTTTTAGCCAAACAGAATCGGGGAAATATTTTGAATAAATAATAATGATATATAGCTTATTCAATTTGCGACTTTCATGAGCAACATAATGCAATTTGCTTTCCCAAAAAAAATAAAGCATAAGCTTTGTTTTCAATTTCTCTTGTGGGATTAACAGTCATCCCTTGAGAAATTAGGCTTGTAACTGCTGAGTATACTCAAATCTCAACAAGTTACAGGGGTTACACGTTGTGAAGCAATAGATGATTCGAATTCACGTGATAGATTTAAAGCAGATTTAACGATAGATCCTTAGAGTTCATTACAACAGCGTTTGCGTGTATAACAATTCAATGTAGTAGCGATGTTAGTTGCTACGTAGTCGTTTTTGGTAGTGGTACACGTAGGTTCCAATTGGAAGCAAAAGAATACGAAAGAATACGATCTACTTAGATTAACTATAAAAAGTGGACTAAATAAGGTAGAATTTCTAAACGACATAAACTGATGCAAAAAGGCAGCTGACAACTGAAAGGAAACGATAATTGGTATCGGCTTAGGACTACAGTCGACTCCCGATAACTCGAACCTTCTAGGGAAATCGAAAAAGGAGTTCGAAAAAAATAGCCGCGAGTAAGGTAAAAAACAGTTTTTACTGCACAGTGAACATGTTAATCACATTAATTGTAGAAATGTCAAGTGAAAATTAAAAGATATACTTCTAGATTATAAATCAGAACGTAACGTAACAAAACATAGCCTAAATAGAGCATGGGTTTTACTGTTTTGAGAAGAAAAGCTGCTTCACGTTAGCCTGTGACAATCAACGTCAGCCTCCACTAGTAAACTATACTCCTACTGCACGTCAATAGGAAATCCAAGATTAAAAGTTTCGGACGCCAGTAGACGGCTTTTTTCCCAACCTTTTAAGGGCTCAAAACATGGTTCGAGTTATTGAAGGTAAAATTATACGGAAAATGACCTGAGGGGAAACGAAAATTGGTTCGAGTTAGCGGGAGTTCGAGTTATCGAGGGTTCGAGTTACCGAGGGTGAAATTACAGTGAGTGAATGACGGAAATCCAGGGGAAATAGATTTTGGTTCGAGTTAGCGCAAGGCTCGAGTTAGCGAGGGTTCGAGTTATCGGGAGTCGACTGTATTTTTAAATTGACCGAGACAATGGTAGTCTTTACACTAGAGCCTAAATAAGCTAATAAATATTTCAAGACAAGTAAACTTTAAATTCTTCAAGTAAAAGGAAGCTTCACACACAACCTATCGTTATTACTTCAGGTTAACTTAAGGCTAGTTTCCAATGCAACATTATTTAGATTGATTGGCTTGCTTCGCCTTTTTTCAAAGCTCAAGAAACTACAAGTTCGCAAAGTCGACGGTCTCAAGGATGGTTTTCAAGTCACTTGAACTTTTCTTGAATCGTTTTTCCGACTTAAATGAGATGCAAAGTAAAAGAAATTGAGATTTTACTTAGACCTTCACACACGTATCTTTTGTTAAGTAAAACTTAGTGGTTCTTAATTCTTACTTAACGGCCTAGAGTTAAGACTGCCATTAACATTTAACTCTATCCAGACCGGGGGGTGGGTGCTAAAAGTTAAAGTGTTTAAGCCATCAACACCAAACTTGGCGACTTTTCTTAACCTGACGTTTTCAGTAGCTGTTCGTTTATCATCCGCACGCATTTTGAGACAAGTTTAGTAATAGTCAGTTACTATGGTTACGAGATTTGACGTCATACGTAGTAGGTGGTCAAGCCATTTTTTAGTAAAAATGCATGTTTTCTCAACTGCGTTCAACAATAATAGTAAAGATTGTGGATAAAATGATGCAAAGTTCTTATTTATGTGTTCTTTTACATGTCAAGCATAAAAATTTACCATTTCTTGCGTTTTTAGCCTGATTTCTAACTCTTGGTAAAATCCAAGGTGACGGCCAAGATGGTGACCATTGTTTGTGACGTCACAGACCTCCAGTAGCGCCACCGCCCATAAAATATACCTCATCTTGTTGGGAAGATCAATGGCTTTCCATTAAAGGCAAAAACTCTATGGGGGGCTCCATCAACCCCCTCCCCCTTGTACCACGGCGGGGGTATGAATTTGCTTTTTTTGGACGTCCGAGGGTTAAGTAAAATTGAAAATATTTAATTATTTCAAAATGGTGGATCCAAGATGGTTGATGTCATCATGACATCACTGCTGTTGTTAAAGATTATTAATTTTGTCAGACACCTTACTGTTTAAGCAGTTTTCGCATGACAGGAAAATTGATGGAATTTCAATTTTTCCAATAAATTCAAAAATATGACGCCATAATGACGTAAAATTACATCATAGAGCCAATCAAGTTATGCGTAAATGTTGGAAATAATGAGTACATTACTCTGTGTAATTTTTGGGGCCGTATCTTGAGTTAAAGCGGGGGCTCCAGAGCTTTCTCCGGTCGCAGCGAGCCCAAAAAAAAAAGCCGGTCTGAACTCTCAGTATGAAAGAGAAAAGCACAATCAAAATGAAATAATTGTTACAATCTACTTTGAATAGGAATAAATAGTTTAGCATTCGTTATAAATGCATGAATTCGATTGGTCACTCGTCCGATTAAAGGACAAAACAATTAATTAAATGTCCTCTCAAATACAGTGTAAATCAGGGTGCGTTCATATAGCCAAAGCTTTATATTTCATCTATAATATAAGGCGATCTTACCGTTTCTTTTCTCCCTCTCCTATGAAAAAAAAAAAAAAAGTTAAAGCTTAGACAATTATTATTTAAAAAAAAGAAAGAAACAGTTGCAGTTAAAATTATTACCAGTGGGAACTAAAATTTCATAATTAGTTTAATTCACCTCTGTTTCGCCTCGTAACGATGTAAATTAAAAGGATAACAATGACCAACACAAGGAAACCAACAACTGCTCCAAGAATTTCGTGATAACAGGAGCAATTGCACTCTGTTAAATTAACAAAACAATAATGTCAATAATAATAATAATGCAGAGGAAAGTAAGTTCTTCTGGAGGGAGCTTTGGGCTAACTCAGTTGAACACAATAAGGAAGCATTATGGTTAAAGGGTTTGCAAAAGACCAATAGGTGGAGGTTCAAGAGGATTTAATAATAACTGTAAACCAGACAAAGAGGCAGTTGAAAAATTACCCAACTGGAAAGCCCTCGGACTAGATAAGCATTGCAAGCATTCTGGCAAGCATTCTGGCTGATAAATCTGAAGCTCATGCATGGAAAAATAGCTAGACAATTGAAGGACTGTGTTGATGAGGGGCAGGTGCCTGAGTGGATAGTACTAGGCCGAACTGTATTGGTGATCAAGGAACCGGATAAGGGAAATTTAGCAGGGAACTACCGCCCAAATATATGCTTACCCCTAATGTGAAAGCTGCTCAAAGGGATAATAGCGGAAGAACTCTATGACCACTTAGAACGAAGGTATTTATTCCCATAAACGAACAAGAGGGATGTCGTAAGAACTTAACAATAGGGGAACCAAGGATCAACTAATGATAGACAAAGCAGTACTACAGTACTCTAAGAAAAGACGAACCAATCTTGCTATGGCTTGGCTAGATCATAAAAAGGCATATGACTCAGTTCCTTATTCTTGTATGATGGAGACACTAGAAATGGTAGGGGCTACTGAAACATCAATTTGATTCTTAAGGAGAGCATGAAGATGTGGTTTCTCAACTGACAGCTAATAATGAACCAAATCATGAAGTAGCAATCAAGAGAGGAATTTTTCAGGGTGATTCCCTTTCTCCACTGCTGTTATAATCGCGATGTTCCCTCTCATATGTCTCTTACGCGAGGCATCCGCTGGAAACTAACTCAGCAAGGAAGAGGGAAAAATTAATCATTTATTGTTAATGGATGATGTGAAATTGTATGGAAGTGATGAAAGAAAAATTGACCTCTCTTGTGCAGACCGTCAGAATATTTACCAATGATGTTGGAATAGACTTTCGTGTTAATAAATGTGCTATGTTTGTGGTGATGTGATGAAGAGGGGTAAGACGGTAAAACGTGTGGGGATAAAACTTCCAGTTGGAAGGAGGCTACAAGCATTGGAAAAAGTGATAACGGATACAAGTACCTAGGAGTTTTGGAGTTGGATGATTTTAAAGACGAGTCAGTGAAGGATAGGCTAAGTAAGGAGTACGTGAGAAGAGTAAAGAAAGTTATCAGGTCAAAACTCAATGGCGGGAACATGGTGAGAGTTATCAACTCGTGGGCTGTGTCGCTGTTGCGCTACAGTGGTGGGGTGGTTAGGTGGACTAAGGTTGAGCTAATGAATCTTGATCGAAAGACCAGAAAATTGCTTATTATACAAGACGCTCTCCACGCAAGAGCAGATGGTAGCCGCCTATACCTCATGCGATCAGTCGTAAAGAAGGAAGACGAGGGCTGATCAGCTTGGACGATTATGTTACGCTGGAGGAACTTAGTCTTGTCGACTATCTTAGTCAAAATTGTGAAGAAAGGCTACTGAAGGCTGCATGGAGAGGGAGAAACCGGAGTGAATTGGAACATCCTGATGACTATAAGTTAGAGAAGAAAGCACGAGGAAAGAGTGAAGGACTGGTCAAAGAGCCCCATGGGCAATACATATGACAGACAAAAAAGGTGGCTGGTAGTGAATCCTGGACCTGGCTGAGAGTGGGAGACCTTAAGAAAGAGACTGAAAGCCTAATTACTGCAGCGCAAGATCAGGCATTGAGGGCACATGTGATTAAGGCAAATATCGAATATCAGAGCCTGTCAGCATTGGACAGAATGTGTGGAAAATGCCAGGGGAACGTAGAACACGTAGTATGTGGCTACAGGAAGCTTGCCCAAAGAGATTACAAAACACGACACATTGGCCCGGGTTGGTTGGTCATTGGGAACTTTGAAAATTTTATGATCGCCCATATGGTAGCAAGTGTTACGAACGTTATCATGAGATTTTACCATACAAACCGATAGTGAGATAAATCACCGTAGGCCTGACATAACTGTCCATGATAAGAACAAAAAAGTTTTCATCATAGACATTGCGGTACCTGGCAACAGTAACTTAACGTTGAAAGGAAATTAAAGAAAAAGAGAAACAGGAAAAATATTAAGACTTAGCTCGGGAAATATCTAACCTTTGGAAGGAGAAGACAAAAGTAATACCAGTCGTTTTGGAAGCTCTAGGAGTGATACTGAGGTGGCTGAACAGAGTTTTGGCAGTTTGTGAGTATATGTCATTTGCCAAATCATGGCAATTAAGAGAAAGGTTGTAGCTCACAAGCTGAAAGTTGGCAAGTGACAAATATACTGATGACAGATTTTGAACGACAGGTACAATTTTACGTTTTCCTAGTTTCCATGGCAACATGAGCAATTGAATACAATCTTAAAATTTCACTTTTACCCAGTTTACATAACATTCGCTCATTAGATTTTCCTATAAACTTGCACACAGCTTACTATAGATAATCATTACCATTTGAAACTTATGTGACCAAATTTTAAAAGATGGGTTTTTAGATAATCAATAATATAATTGTATTGTAATTATTAAATGTGTCACAAAATTCGTCTGTTCAACATCCATTTTTATTTTCTCATTTTTTAAATACGATAAAAGTAATAATTCGGCTAAATATTACAAAATTTTAATGAGTAGATTTTGCGAAATTGTCTTCTGAGTACCATAGCTTTTTCACCGCCATGTTTGTTTGTCTGATTTAAAACACGCGCCGTCACGCGAGTTGCCGCTGACCGCCCACAAAACTGTGTTCAACCACGTTAAAGTAAATTGGATTTCTTTTAACTATATTCAGATGGTGCTGGGCGGCTTTTGAGGCCCCTTTCGCTTATAGCTTAATAACTTCAAAACCGTTTAAGCTATGACCACCAAACTCACTGAATTTTCCCAAAAAGTATCTCAGAACAGTTTAAAGTCATCGTCATGTGTACGTCAACATTGACCTTACCATGGCAGCCGGTTTTTGGCAGCCATGTTTTTCAAAATTTGCTTTTTCCTACAAAAAGGGGTTATTTATGTTTTTACTTATTCAATTATAGCCTTAAACGTAATTTAGCAATATTTATCAAATTTATTATAACTTTTAGTGTCATCCAAACTTTCTAGTGACTTATTTGAGAGAAAATATGAATTATAAATGACCAAATGGCAGATGCTGGGTTCAGTTTTTAAGCTAATTTATACAACAGGATAAATTGGAGTTAATGTGATAACCATAAACCCGCCCTTACCACTAGTGGAATCAGCTCACTTCCTTTCAGGGGTCACTTCCTGCATGTGACCCCTGTCACACTAATTGTTTCGCTCAGCTAATTAGATGCCAGCTATCACATGTACAGTTGATGCCTATATTTTCGCGCCTAGCTCAGCAAAATAGCACTTCATATTCTTCTCTTCGTGGAACAAAATCCCATCCCACCCTCCCTTATTACTGCTTGATTCTCTCTGCTAGTTTTCTTAAGGTTTTATGTATGAGGTCTTTTCTCTTGTTGAAAAATTTAAGAAGCTGCTTATACTTTTTGCAGTCATACGAACTACTGATCTTTGTTGTTTACACTTTGAATCAATTGGCAATTATCAAGAAGATATGGCAGAAAAGAGGTGGGTTTTCTACTGAGGGGAATCATCGTACCCGGCATCGTAACATGCTTGTGCACTTAGTTACTTTAGGCCTTATTTTGATTATTAAGTTGATAAAAGTTTAATTGTCATTTACTTACAACTTCTATTAATACATTTTCGTCTAACCTCTCCCTCGAGGTTCATGTTAAGTGTCTGGCTCTGCTTTCGGGAGGGTTCAGGTTTCCCTCAAAAATAAGTGAGGGTTTTTCCTGACGGGCAGCAGGCACGCAATCCTAGCTTAAATTAGTGATGATATCTGTATTGAGAGTCGTTGGCAATTAATAAACATGGGTTCGGGATGAAGTGCTCCCATACAGGTCACACTTTGCCCCATAGACTCTTGTTACTCCTTTAACCGGGGAATTAGACATCTAGAGAGGTCTTTCCACCTCTCCAGTACCCAAGGGGGATTATCACCTCCACTCACAACCTTGGGGGATTATCAAGCCCTAGAGAGGATTATCACCTAGCTTCTCACTATCCTGGGGGATTATCACCCCCAAGAGAGGATTATCACCTCTCACTATCCTGGGGGATTATCACCCTCTAGAGAGGATTTTTACCTCTTCCCTTGTAGATTTCAGACTGTTACACCAATATGTAGAGAAAAGTGACCTGCTGTCCATATTTGGAGTACTTCATCCCTTACCCCTTTTTCCCCATAATAATTCTGGTCTAGTTACTTGCTTTATCTAAGGGGTTATGGGTTAAGAGCATTAAACCGCTGTTAATTTCTCTAGGAATTTCAACTTGCGAACTTTTTTTTTCCACTTCCTAAGCATTCTTTTATACACAGATCAATTTCTCTATGACGACTACTTTGATTTATGCGTTTATAAGTAAAATTGAATACATTTACATAAATTCAAAATGGCGGATCCAACATGGCGGACGGTTCCAGATCCTTCTTTAATAACAAATAGACCTATTCGGCTAAATCAATGTTTAACCCAATTCAAACCCTTTGGGAATAAAACGTTTTGTTTTAGGAATTTCCATATCATTTAAATGTGAATGCCATATTATAATGCAAATACAATACACAAAGAATTTTAACCTTGGGAGATTTGAACTAGGTACAACATTGAGTTAGCCGAATAAATTGATGAAATTTTTATTCTATTTAAAAGAAAAATCAACGCAAAAAAAGCAACACGACGTTTCGATGACTCCATGTCATCATTATCAAATGCAAAGAAAATTAGCATGAATTGGTGATATATATACAGAAAAAAGAAAGTGTCAGAAATATGTAAAGTTAAATTGAGGCGTGAAAATGGAGCAAACTAGCAATTAAATAATTATAAAAAGTTTCGCCCGGATGGAGTCCGATTGAGTGTTTAATGTAGGTCTTTTGTTTCTGATGATAAGCATTTCGAAGATCAGACACTCAAGCTTCCCTCGGCATTTCTTCTTATTCTCTCTATAAATTCAGCAATATGACTTTATAATGACGTCATAGTACGTCAATGTCTCAATGAGTACATTAGTCTGCGTCATTGTGGTGGCCATATCATGAGCGGTTCTAAAGTTATAGAGAGGGGCTTTCGAGAAAACCCCACCCCCTGTCGCAAGAAGACAAAAAAAAAGCTCGGTCTGCATATAAGCGATTGCTAAATTGAAGAACAACGTTTGCATGTATGTACGTGTAAATAAGAAGAACTTTGTTTTCAGATTTACAACCACTCTTTAAACAATCAATTTTACGGCATTTTTAAGCAAGTGAATATTTTTTAACTTCAAACACGGACTTAGTCCTACATGTGGTAATTTGCAATAATCCATGCCTAATTATACTGTTCAGTAAGAATCAAATCATTCTCCATGCAGTTCCACAACTTGCACAGTGAGAATATAAACCCTATGGTTTTCTTTTTTCTTTTTTTCTTTTTTTTTTAATGGTGATAATCTATAAACAATGATACTCACCCGTAGTTTTAGGTTGCGTTATAGAAGGAGTTGGAGTGGACGTCTCTGCAGATAGTGTAGGTGCAACAGAAGATGCATTTTTGGTAGCCGGGCCTTCAACGATTTTTAGATCTCTCACTGTGTATGGACCAATGATCCCCTTATCCATAGCAGTCCTCAGTTCAAAAAGTCCGTCATCTGTTGCAAGGGGCGTTTTAAAGAAAAGCGCGAAAGACACAATTACACTGCCTCTCCTGAAAAAAAAAACATTGACTATCATTCCCAATTTATGACAAGAAAAAATGAATGAAATCGCTTTTTACAAACCTTAAGGCAGTCACTTTGACCATTTCGAAGCTTGTTTTATTTTGGTAGATTCTCTTTACCTGGAAGAGATAAAGAACTACCAGTTATTTCCCCATTAACTAAGGTGCCAATAATTGTTAAAAAAATTATCTGGGAAATTTTTCTACTCATTACTAAGAATATATATTATGCATATTTTATTGTATTGTATGATAATGGGGTGCTGCGAACGTTTTTTTTTCTTTTAGATACCGTGCGTCTTTGTTAATCGCATAACTTTCAGAGTAATTTGGAGTGAAAAAAGAAGTAAATTTTTCCACATACGAGAGACATAAGCGACCCGTTTTGAAGGGATGTTTCTTGCAAAATGCAAAGAGAAAGACATGCATGGGATTTAATCCTCAAAACGATCGATGAAATAAAAAGGCTTAATAGAGAAATGCAATCTTCGAGAAGCGCGGTGGAGAAGTCAGTGCTATAAAATGTGAGGGATTACAGAATTGTAATGTATTTTCTATTCGCCAATGAAAAACAGGAAGTTGCCCTTAGTTAGTGAAGAAGAATATACTTTTTAATTATACAAGCTAAAATAGGTTAAAATAGAAAAACCAAAATACCGAATTCGTAAATGATTCCACGAAAGCCTTCGCAGGCTCACTGTTCAAGTTTTCGTAGTCAGGTTGAAAGACAGTTTCAACCCCGTTCTCCTCTGCTATCGTCAGTAAGAGTTGAAATTCATCTCCTAGGAATAATTTCAGAACACAGAAATCAGTGAGTTGTTATAGGCCTCTAGGGTAATGTTTGTGAACATTGTAGGTTACGGATGTAACATTCTCTGCAACAGAGTGATCGAAGTTCGATGGAAATGCCAAATCCAAAAATTTCTGAAAGAAGCGATAATGTAGGTTTGATCATGATAGGCAAAGCTTTATTGAGGAGGAAGACGAATTCCTGTTTATCGGTCATAAGATCAGCCGTTATTCACACGTTAAGTTCCAAATGGGGCTTCTCAATCTTAAAAACACATTAGTCGAAGGGAAACTTACTTGTAACTTTAACCAAGATAAGGAAGTTGGCAGATCCCAGGCTATTTATTGCCGTACATGTATATATTCCACCTTTGCTATCATTTATATCTTGAAGAATTAGATATCTGTCGGTGGTAAAGACGCCGCTTACTGAATTTGTCCAAATGTACTGTGGAACTGGATTTCCATTTGCTAGGCATTCTATGTTGATGCTTGTACCAGCTGCTACTTTCCAAGTAGTTGCCTGTGGCTTTGTAATTTCTGGAGGATCTGGCAGCAAAAGTTAAAATGAATGCAGTGTAAGAACATTTCTCGAAGGTTCTAACGGCTGCGAGCTTGTTAGGCATTTATTTTAATTGTGCTACTGAAATCTCGAAATTTAGATAGGGGACAATTGTCATAATTGACATTTGCGCCTGATGTCTAAAATTAGATGCATTAAGTAGAATTAAGCTATTTACTTTCATATGTATGACCCGGGTAGATGCTAGCTCGTGTTTCGCCAGCATGCGAACTCATTTACAATGCGAAATTGTCTCTAAAAAAAAGAGAAACCAAAAACAAACAAAATTATTGGGGGCAAGAGAATTTGGACCCTTACGTATGGCAATAATTTTTTGTCTACATGCAAACTTTAACATTTAAAGACAGGAATATAACTTACAATGGACATTGATCTGCAGTTACAACGGTACAATATCTTTTAATCCATTGATGTAGCTGTAATTGGCTTCAAAACTAGTTGAGACGCTGCCATTAATGGCGTTTCTAGTGTTTTTCCAACACCCCAACTTTGAATTGAGGGGAAGGGGGAGAGGGTGGATTCTTTTCTTCTCTGAAGCAGCTGCATTTACGGACAGTGCCTCGACAATTTTGTCGCCGGTTGTGGATGAATCAATGATTAAGCCAGTTTAGTAGCACAACCTACTAAACCATAGTAACAAGAGACATGGAGCAGCAGATGCATGATTATTTGGGTGACATTGCTGCTGAAACGAAAAAAAACTCGATGTTCCGGTATAACTGGTTGCCAAAGTAAAAAAAAAATGGTTCCTTTATTGATTTTGTCAAGTTGTACTAACTTAAATCCAAGATAACAGATCCAGAATAGCGGCCATTTAGAATTACATGTACATGTATGACTTTGAGGTCCCCGTCACGTGAAATCATCACATCAAGTGAACAACCTTAGCGGCCATGCTTTTCTGAAATGGCTACAAACCTTTTAATGCGATCTATTTGAATTTATGTTTGTTCTTTCTTAATATGTTTTCCAGTCCTTTGATGGATAGTTGTAACGTATGTAGCATTTTTGTTTACTATTATGCAAACTTGTATAAAGTAATATAACATTGTAGCTTTTAAACTCATTCATGATTGATAGAGAAAAACACAAAAACATCTCCACCTTGAATTAAGGAGGTTCTGTTATGGGACATCAAATAATAAAGAATTTTTGTGAGGTTTGACTTAAATTTTTTTCAAAACTTGAATTCGGTAGGAAACGTGTGCTGTGCCACGTTTCTCAACCCACCCCTTGGTGCTTGCATTCTGCGTAAAGAATTTTGTATCTTGTTTGATGCGTTATTTGTAAAAAATAATAAAAAAAATAAATAAATGAATACAATAAATCAGAAACAGTTAATTGATAACTGGTTATAGGTGTTGCTGTCATCAGCTAATGATTGACACATGGCAAAAATAGAAACCATTGTCTGTTCAATTAAAACATCATTAGCGTACAAGTGCATTACACACATTCGTATATCTTTATAGAATCAGCGCGACAGGGCGTAAAAGGTATAAAATATATTTATATTTCAGAATGAACGATTGCCTGTTTCAAAATATACCAAACGTTTTATTTAGCTACATTTTCCTTCATAAGCTTTTCTTAGTAAAGTAAAGAGACCTTCATTTTCTTGTCAATAAAGTGTTACAGATTAATGTATTAGTATATGTAACAGGACTACATGCTGTCCAATTTGGAAATAATTGGATAAAAGATATCCCGAGGACGCTCAAAACTAGACGAGGCCGTAGGCCAACTGCAATTTAGCTTTCAGAGTAATTTTTCGAATCCAACTATTTCCAAACTGGAAAAGCTTTTAGTCCTCTTACTTATCAGTTATACAGCTGGTTAGTTAATCCACACTTGTTAGCGTATCACAGAAATAACATTGCACACTGAACCGTTTGTAGTTGAAAAGATTGAAAAAAATGTTTATTCTAGGATCACCTCAAACGATTTCCGCAGACTTTCTGCAATTAAACATACAATTGTTTCACAGCCAGTAAGAGCAAGAGTCTTTGCCGACGAACCACCGTCAGCCAACGAGAAGTTTTTGTCGAGCTGTCACAGAAACCTTACGCTGATTGGCTAGTGTGTATTGGCTATTGTATTTTGTTGCATTTGATTGGGCCAGACCAGCTGTCCTATCTTTCTTAAATTCGACAGTTTGCCTTTTAGAAAGGAAAGCCTATATGAAACTATCCAAATTAATCCTTAATTGGACAGATTTAAAAATTAAAAGTTAACAAGAGCCATAATGGGACAAAGAGGGAATCTTAAGGCGTTGGCCGAGATATGTGAATTTCACAAAAGTTATTTTAATTGATCGTTTGAAACGTCATCAAGTCGACTCGCGACTGCCTCAGAGCAAACAGTGCAGAATATTGTAATGGCAACTGTTGAATATTGAACAAGACCTTTTTAAGTGAGATTTACAGGCGTCTAGATTTCGGCATCAATATTTTAAATGAGCCTGATGGGGCATTTCAGTTCAAGAAATTGAAGTTAGCGTTCCTACTCGCAAGCGTAGGATAAGCGATGATTTGTCCGAAGAGGACTCATTCTGTTTCCCTCTTTAGAACGGCGTGAGAAGAAGTCCGCTTATGAAAAGAAACTGACGAAAGTCAAAGAATTAACTAAAATGCTTAAAATAATGGTGCTTGTTCCAATATGTTTTTTCCTTCTGGCGGGTAGATTATGCGCTGGAGCCGGTTCTAAGTTTTGATTTAACAAATGTGATTTTTGCCGCTTGTCTCAGACTGATAGGTCACGACACGCATATTGATTTTCTGTGGGTTCTGTGAGTTTCGGGTCGGCAGGATTGGCCCCCTGATGCAAACTTAACGCTTTTTGTTGCGGCTAAATAAGGGTTTTAGGTTTTTTAATTTTCTCCAAAGTGACTCCTGGATCTGAATATAACTAAAAGAGATTTTGTTTTGTATGAGAATGTGGTGGTTTCCTGCAATGTTTTGACACGCTAAGCCCACAACCTCGAATGTCCAATGAAGTTGACGGGTTTTTTTTTGCCTCCTCTGCAACTGAAGAAACAAGTTCCAGATACAATGTTCTGAGCGTCGAGTATTTCTTCGGTTAGCCATTAGCTTTCAATTGGTTTCCAAATTTGTCATGAACTATTGTTAGTCTTGAGCTGTTCTGATACGAAGTTCGATCACATGGGACGAAGTTCAATTTGTAGTCCTTTTAATAGCACCTCTTCCGCTTTCGTGTTTTGATTTCTGCTGTGATTTGCTTGCATTTTAGCGTTTTTGTTCGAATTGTGCGTCGACGGCGCTTCACTAGAATTGACGTATGGCTGCTTTGATTGTTTTGTGCGACAATTGTTCCCTATCCTCTGTTTGCCTTTTGCTGTTGTTTTTTCTTCCTGCCGAGGTTCCAGTACCAAAAATTTAAATTTTCGTGATTAGGATCGCTGTCCGCGGACTTCAGTTCCTCCTAATAAATTGATATATCATCTAGCAAATCAGTCAACCCCAAGAAATCGTGGAATCTAGCTCCCAATCTGAACAATCTCTCAAGCTAAAACCAATTCCTTTGCTTACAAAATCACTTTCGTGGCTGAAAAGCACCTCCACGCGGGACGCCATTAATTCTTGACAGCCCTGAATAAAAGTTTGCGGACCTCCTGGGAAACCAATTTCCAATTAATTCAAGCGTTTAATTGGTCTAAAAATAACTTTGGTGAAATTCACATATCGTAAGTGCTAGACTAGGCGTTTCCGTCTCTGTCCCATTATGGCTCTTGAAGTTAACAATTCTGACTATATCGGATTAACCACCAGCTATCTAATATAAATGATAATACAGGTACTAATAGTACATACTTACAAAGCACAGTAATGTTTGCAACAGCCATAGCGGGAATTCCCACTCCATTATCTCCTGAGCACTGATACTGGATCACATTATCAGGTGTTACTGGTCTGCTTACATTCACCACCGTGAGTATTGATGTTTTTGATAGTACCTCGGAACTGCCAACTCTGGTCCACGTTATGCTTGGCTTAGGTTTGCCAGACGAATTACAAAATAATGAGATGTTGTTCCTTTCCACAACAAAATCTGTTGTTGTCTTGATTTCTATTGACGCGGTTTCTACGAAAAAAATTGTCCATTGAGTAGAGCAGTTCTCGAATTCTTGCTGGAAATTTAGTACGAAAAGAAACCATATGCATCACTTTATTACTGACTTACCAACTACAGTGACGTTGACAGTGGTATTGTGTCCCGAGCCCAGTGAATTGATAGGAAGACAAGTGTAACTTCCATCTACATTGACAGTAATATTCAAAACGCCGTCACTGCTGTTACCAATTAGGATGTCATTGACATAGTACTGATACTCGTGGGCAGCAGGGTTGGCATCTGCACGGCATATTATTGACAGTATTTTACCACGGAGCACTGTGGTGTTCCTTGGAATAGTCGTAAGAATTGGAGCAGATGGCAAATCTAAATCAATCAAGACAAGTTACCCCTTTAGTCAACAGACTTGTTTTAAAGCAAAATATTACTTTGTTCTCGATGACGTAGTGAAAAAATAACTAATAAGTGGCTGTCCACCTAAGAGCGGTCCGGCGAGTTTGGGATCGCCAGTAAACCTTCCCTTTATTTTTTGTGGGTGAAAAGGACTTAATGAGGAATGATTGAAATCGAGCTAATTTTTTTCAAAATCTTTTTCTGTGCTTCGCTACAGCACATAACTTCTTTGCTGTCTGAGAGCGCTTTTTCAACTTTATTCAATGGCCAAAATTCAGTAATTTTAAAAGCCGCGCTTCTTCGTAACGGATAAATATCGCGAAATTCTACATAGTACAATGGATTTAGCTGCACTTGACTCGTCCTATGACGCAATCTTGGATAATTTGACGCAAAATTAAAGTAAATTAATAAGATCAAAGACGAGCCACTTTGCGGTTTTTTCTCTCCCCTGACAAATTCCTCCAAAGTAAAAGCTAAAATCTCCAAAGCGGTTCAAAAATCGCAGGTAAAATGCACTTCACAGAAAAGATCTCACCTTATTCTGTTAGAAAATAAAGTCAAAGGTGCAGGTATCTTTCTGCGTCGGACGCGAACAAGCGTTTTTGAGAGCTCCTTTTGTCAATATTTACCTAAAATTGCACGTTTGGCGCCTACACTTTAACTCACATGATAAGGCTGATATTTTTCCCACGGGGCAGAATCGTGGTATGCTTCGTCAAAATAACTCACTTTTGTAGTTTTGAAGGTCATCTTAGGCCTGTAAACCGACATAAAATGCCATAAAATACATGTAGGAATTCTTCATCTGCTCGTATATTATGCAAATTTTTATATTTTTAAAAAAGGTCATTTACACCGGGTTGTCGATTTCACCAATTTTCAAAATCTTAAAGAATACAATTCACGTCTGCTCAAACGAAGCCCTTTTTGAGTTTGGAGTCTCAGCAACTAAAAGGCTCTTTAATAAAGACTGAATTCAGCTCAATTTCCTTTTGGGTTTTCTTCATGGTCATATGCTAATTAGGATTGTTGCCACGCAATGAAAGCGGATTTGGAGAGTTTAAAGGAGCAAGCAAGTTGGTGCCTCTTAGTCAATGTAACAGGTGAGCGTTATTACGGCTCATTCGAGGCGATGTCACTTAGCGAAAGAAAATATTACAGAGAACGAACTTACTTTGCAGCGGGCTGGGTATTTAGGTAAAACTGCCCAACAAGGTGAAAAAATGTTTGTATGTCTGATACATCGTGCGAACTTGGGAAGGACTGGGGTAATCCAACTGGCCGCACAGAATGAGGATATCCAGACCATAAGGGAAAACAGACTTGTGCCGTGAAAAGTGACAGAGTGTCGGGGTCAGACTGTAAAAATTGCCGCCAACTGAGAAACTTCCAAAATCTCCTAGTAGTGTCTGCAAATTCGAGGCTAGCGGATGGGCGGCTGCAGAAGTTAAGGGGAGGCGGGACAAGGTTTAGCGAGAAAGTCAAGTCTTACCTCACCGCACGATTTGATGTTGATACTCAAACAGGCAGGAAACCAGATCTTTCTGAGGTCGCAACGGACATGAGAACGACCAGAAACACAGGTAGTTCAAGAACGTTCCACAGACGAATGGCTTACAAAGGGACAAGTTCAATCATTCTTTTCCAGACTGTCTGCAATCAGCAGGACTGAAAAAAAGGGCTGACCAAAGCCGAGAATGTTAAAATTTGTGACGAAGGAGATCTGCTCTCAGTGCTCTTGCGAGAAGAAATTGCGTTTCTTATTGACGAACGTAGAGACAAGGAGGTCGAAGATATTTTCAACAAGATGAGCGTAATACATCCAATCAGGTACGATGGCCATGATATCTGCGAGCAGACCAACCAAGAAGTACTCTCAAAATTCAATGTGAAAACATCTGCGAATATTTTGAAATGTCGTTCAAATCTTAAGATACAAAGGCTACTCTAATAAACACAATCACAGACATGTTGAAAGAATGCAGTTGCTGCCGCACCTCCCCGTAAATGGCCAGGGACTGACAAATTGCCCCATTGCATTGGGGTGTGCCGAGTTGCCTAGAAAATTCCTATTGTTTCTAGGCCGAGTTCGTGGAGGTGTTTTCTCAGGATTTTCGTATACAGTTTGAAAGTTTAACTTTCAAGGTATGTTGTATGCTTGTATAAGACGATAAATCTCAAGTAACTTATAACATGACATCAACCCTTGAAAGTATGTGACCTGCTTTTTCGTTCAGTACTTTATTTACAATACTAGTAAAAGAGCAGGCCCCAGTTGTTCAAAAGTTGGGTAGGGCTATCCATCGGATGAATCTCTATTCAATTGATAAGTATTACGGAAACCATTTGCTCTATCCAGTGGATAGCGATTTACACGGTGGATAGCGCTATCCACCTATTAAACAACTGGGCCCTAGAAGGATAAAAGTTGTCCGCAGGACAGTTTTTTTTTTTCTTTCATAGAATTTTTATGAGTTAAGATCATTATTGTGACACTTTACTTTTTGGCAATAAGAAATAAATAACGTAAAAAAGTCACCAAATGCATATCAGCGGTACCTAAAGACTGTTTTCTGTGAAATATCTGTTCGGAGAAGCAAAATTGTCTAGAATTTTGTATAGCTCGAGGAAGACTAAAAATTTATTAGATGACCGTTCTATGCATGTACAATTTTCGAAGCTAATCTAATAAATTCCCTACGATTTTCTTAAGTTTAATTTTTCCTATTTCACACCCCAGGTTAAGCTATTTTTCGTAGAGAAAGGAAACCTAAAATTATCGGAACCGAAAATGCGATACAGAAAGGAATCAGAAAAATCCTCACTTTCGTAAAACTTTAAATTGCAGCAAATTTTCGGGAAAAAAGACTCACGGTTACCCTAGTATGACCAAACAGATAAAAATGTTTTTAGCGCCACTTGGAATACATTTCTAGAGATCTAAAAGTACTCTGAATAGCCTAAAAAGTGTTCTCAATACACTTAGGAGGAAACCGTCGTTGGGTGCCCCTGGCATATAATAGGAGCTAGGGATTTTTTCTTGTAATGAATCAATTTAATTACAAGCAAAGTGCCACTTAACGTGTTCTTGGGCGTGGACCGTTCAATTATTGATGGGGGTGGGGGCTGCGTTAATTTTGGCTTCTTGATAAAGCTGTATATATATATGTATATAATAGAAGTAGACTGATGGGACTGGATTATATCTTGAACATTTATTGCTACTCAGAGAGTCATGCCTCTTGCGAGGCGAATCATCAGGTAAACAAAACAATAAATGCCAGGCGTGGCGTAGGTGCGTGGCGAGTCGTACTTAAGTGATGCTTACAACATGTCAAATTTGCGACAAGAACTAACCAAGTTAGGACAGTGTTTAGTAGAAATTTCTTTGAGTGTCTGCACCCTGAGATTAGTTCATTTCTATTGCCCAGGGCAGACATTACAGGTTTGCAAATTATAAACAGCACGACGAGCCACCCGCCACGCGCCACGCGCCACGCCTAGTATTTACTGTTCTGTTTTACCTATATCTTTGATTGCAACCGTCAATTTTGGCAGTTGGCTGATGATTGCCTCGTAAGAGGCATGAAACTCTTGGTAGCAACAAATGTTCAAGTTTTAATCCAGTTTCATCAGCCTACTTCTATTCTGCTCTAGGTTAACTATTGAGCACCATCGATGAGGACAGCACTCGGGCACTTTGTTGTATGTAATATATAGATTTAGCCAGGGCTAAAAGCGAAGCTCCCGTTAATAAATTCATAATTTAAATCAAACAATAAACTTGTAATCCGCAGATCAGGGCACATTCATTTGACGTTTGAGGCAAAGGCTAAGTGATTTTAGAGAAAAATAATTTGACAGTCCAAGAGTGAAACAGCTTTTACATCGAGTTATTAAATAATCTTATTTGTACACCCAAAAATAGCAATCATGTTCGATCACAATAGATTAGGCCTGGAAAACAAATAGACCTACCTATTTGTGTATTGTATTTGTATTAGCTGTTGAATCATAATGTGGCATTCACCACTCTCTCCAACATTGCTCCGTTTGAGAGACTATGGATAATTGGACAACCCCGAAATATAATTTTAAGAAACACAGGCGCCACGATAGTCCTTGGTGGCAGCCAATTTACACGTTGCATTCCTCTGTCTAAAAGAGAGGCCAAAATAAAAAATCAGGCCGGATTTTTTGTGTTCGACAAGTTTAGTTTACTAGTAAATCTTGGCGACGAATCTGGTGGAGTGTAAACCAGCCTTTTAAACATACTTTTTCTCATCACGTCTCAGGTAAACAGTACTATGAGGCCAATGTTTTTATCATACAGACCTCGGACAAAATTTGTTCTTTCTTGCCCTATTTAAACCTATAATTCTGCAGTTTTTCACAATTTTGCAAGAATTTGCACTCATTCAATATCCACGACGATCAAAGCACGCGCTTCCTTTGCACAAGGGAAAACGATAAAAAAATTCCCAAAATCACTTTTCGGCCAGCCGGACGGGGCTCACTTTTGACAGGCACTAAATTTGCAGTGCGATTAATAGAGTTAACATTTACGCTTCAACATGATAGATAAATTGTATGTTTAGGTTTTATTTCCCTTTATTTATTAAACTGCGGACGGTTTTGTTATGTGTAATCTTTAAAAGCGAGTGATATTTACGCGCGGCGTTTTGAGTATTCCTGCATGAGATGTTTATGTTCGACTGGATACAACCGGTGCAGCGATAAAAATTGCGAGAGGGACTACTAACAATCAATAAAATAAATATAATTCGGTGAAACATGTACAGAGACAATAATTTTCATTCACGAAGAGAAGTATTGAGAGTAAAGTGTCTTTGAAAATCATGAGTCAGGTAAGCATAAGCTTATTTCTGTTTTAAGCCGGCTTCCCGGTGTTTGCTCTTTTTCAAGATGAACTCGAGGCAAGAAAATCGCTCAGGGCTTTCTTTTTACAGTCAAAATCATAAGTAAATAATCTTCGGAACATTTTCTTTGAATTTGAGGTCAGAAAATGTCTAAAGGCTTTTTAAACCTGATACTATTGTAGGTTAGATCATTGCTCGTATATAAACTTAAGCCGCATAAACCATACGCTCGACTTCAGGAAACCGGAAAAAAAAACACATCAAAGACAACAATTTCTCAGGCTTACCAGTCGAGATGCTGCTTCTGAAGGTCATCAAGTGTTCCAGAATTTTCAACCTTCTTACGCCTCAAGCAAGGGCAAGTGAGTAGGCTCATTTTTGAAAACGATGCCATCCGAAATCGGATTTCCAATGACTTTGACAAGCGGTGCATTTGTCAACAAAGAGCGCAATAAACAAACCAGCCATGAATTACAGAACAATCTTGATAGCAGCTGTATTTCATTTTGTAAACCAAGTAGAAACAGCCAGTTTAAAACATCACAAGATGATACAAAACTCTGTAAGCTCCAGCTATCAGTAAGCAAGTTTCCAGACGCTGCATAAATTTTCCGCATGAACTCACCTGTCAAATTTTGACCAATCAGAACATAAAAATTGAACGTAGAGCGTGATCAACACGTGACAGTGAGAAAAGTCAAAAGTGATTGCCTTCCCCGCATGTAAATGTAAAAGCCGGTTGAATTTTCGCGTCCGAGGACAGTTCGAAATCAACATTTTAAAAGTGCGGCTCATGAACTCGACTTATTTCATATGCTTTTAAAAAAAATTGAACCTGAGCCTGCGATAATTGAAAAGTAGCAACCTGTCAGCGGATACGTTAAAAAACACTCGAACTCAGTGGGTCGATACCTGAGCCCGCGATAGGGTCAGGCGATACTGGTCAGCAGTAACACTATTTTGACTGCTGTCAATTAATCAAAACATGGATGTACAATATCAGGTTGCAGGCTCCCAGACTAGCTAGAAAGTGTGAGATTAAACATTGGTATACCTGTGGTGCGGACGGACGGAAGGTCGGGTGGTCGGTGTACGGTCACGTGATTGCCGAATTTTCTAAGATGGATCGATTTTCTAAGCTATGGGACTTCGAATTGAGCCCGTGATCAAATAAAATATCAGCGCAAAACTTTAAACACCACGTGACCTCAATGGATAGGCTAATGAGCCCGCGATACACTCAGATGATGATGGTCAGCGTATACTCTAGTTTGACAGCTGTCAATTAACCTTCATTACAATGGCGAATATTCGAATTAACAGACTACGAGTGTGAGTAAGACATCTCCGTCCGGCATATAGTGGAAAATGCCAGATCGTGTACCTGAGCGAACCTGAGCCCCCGTTATTAGTTTTCTAATAGTGGTCTGCACATGTCCCATTTTGACAGCTGTCAATTGACCTTAATTTGGCTTGCCAATATATCTTTAAACGACTGTCAGCCAACTGACAGCCTTGCCCGGCGTAGTTTTGTTTTTATGTTGAATTGGTAAGTGTGACATATTATATCCGCTTATATGTAGGGGCAAAACGACTGGTCTTTCATCTGAGCCCGCGAGATAGTCATGTGATAATTGTCAGCGGATGCCTAATTTTGACAGCTGTCAATCTAATCGTACTCATACGGATGGCTTACATAACTAAGAGGCGAGTCAAGTTGTGCAAGATCCTTTGTGACATTTGACATCGGCTTACATGAAGCGTGTGTACGGGTGGGCGGGCGGGCGGGCGTACGCTATGTCATAACCAAATTTTCTCAGATGGATAGTTTTCCAAATTTTCTTACCCATGGTGCTCCGCTCTGCGCGCGCTTCGCGCGCGCGAGGAGCTCCGCTATAATATATATTATCCTTCCAGCCCTGTAAATTCTTTTTTAATCTCGGTGTCCTTGTCCTCCCCCCCACCCCCTATCAATAAAGTAATGGTTCACCCTTTATTTGTTTATGCAAAGAAAGGGATCGATACAGGAGGTATATTGCGTGACAAAAATGCAAATTAGCATACGACTGATGGCGTGTGGGACAAACGTTCAATATTACCCGCGCTCGGAAAAATATTCCAACAGACATACCCTTCACCAAACGTAAGGTGATTCATAATAATTTCTCAAGAGCTACACGAGAAAAGCCGTCACCCGAGGTCAGAGAATCCGACATGTTCATGATAAATGAGGGATAAACACGGATCTGGGAATTCAACAATGATTCAAATCATGTCAAATGCTCGAAACGGAAAAAGAAACTCAAATGGAATATGAGATAAATTTCTATTTTAAAAAGGGTATCCAGTTGCTGAGTTTCCAAGCTGAAGATTGATTACATTTGAGAAGAAGTTAATAACCGTACGTAGTTTGAGATTTTAACATAGCTGAAATGGACAACCTGGCTGTAAACAAGCACAATTTGCATATCCGACGGGTTGATCAAGAATGTCAGTTTATGGCATTTTTTTCGGCTTTCATTTCTACAAACTTAAAAAGACTAGTGAATAGAAAACATATGTTCGCTATTTTGAGGATACACAACAACATTCTCAGCTGCTGAGAAAATATCTACTAAATTAAAGTCGTTGTGTGTGAACCGTTAAGCGGGCAAATCTATGCAAATAATGCCGAAAAGAGGCTCTTAAAAACGTTTGATCACGTCCAACCCAGAACGATACCCACACCTTTGACTTTATTTTCTGGCAGAATAAGGTAAGATCTTTGCAGTGAAGTTCATTTTACCTGTGATCTTTGTACCGCTTTGGAGATTTTAGCTTTTACTTTGGAGGAATTTGTCAAGGGGGGGGGGAAAACCGCAAAGGGGCTTGTGCTTGATTTTATTAATTTAATTTAATTTTGCGTCAAATTATTCCATATCCTGTCATAGGACAGGTCAACTGCAGCTACATCCTTTGTACTATGTATTATTTAGCGATATTTATCCGTTACGAAGAAGCGCGGCTTTTAAAATCATCGAATTTCGGCCATCGAATAAGGTTGAAAAAGCGCTCTCGGACAGCAAAGAAGTTTTGTGCTGTAGCGAAGTACAGAAAAGGATTTCGAAAAATATTAGTTCGATTTTAATCATTCCTCATTAAGTCTTTTTCACCCACAAAAAATAAAGGGAAGGATTACTGGCGATCCCAAACTCGCCGGACCGCTCTTAGGTGGACAGCCACATAATATTAAAGGAGCTAATGGCACATACTTACAAAGTATAGTGATATTTGCAACAGCTATAGCGGGACTTCCCACCCCATTATCTCCTGAACACTGATACTGGATCACATTATCAGGAGTTCCTGGTCTGCTTACATTCACCACAGTTAGTATTGATGTTTTCGATAGGACCTCGGAACTGCCAACTCTGGTCCACGTGATGGATACCTTAGGTTTGCCAGACGAATTACAAAATAATGAGAAGTTTTTCCTTTCCACAACAAAATCTGCGGTTGTCTTTATTTCTACTGACGCGCTTTCTGCAAGAAATGTTTCCATTATAGAGTGAGGAGAAAAACAAATGCATTTCTTCTGGAAAACTGTTATGAAAAGAATGCGTCATTTTGTTTTAGAAAGGCCCAAGGATTAATGCTAAGTGCGCGCTGATAGGAAGTTTTTAATAATCTGTAAGACACACCTATGATCTCATTTTTTCTTTTGTCCAACGGACGTGTCAATATTGGCAAGATTAATTATTTCGGATTAAGCAAGGAAAGGTATAGCAAAACGCTTTTCAGAAACGTTTTATAAGTAACTGCTAACTCAGGAAATTCCTTTTTTGTCATTTATTTCTGTTCATCGTATAAAACTAATAGATTCTATGTTGTCGCGCATCTTCAAAGTAGTAACTAACAAAGCGACGTCAAAGTGTGGTAAGAATACCAATGACACACTTGCCTTCGGCTTGTGTGCATCTTCTTTTTTGTTCTTACTCAATTTTGACGTCGCCTGTGATCTATTACTATAAGCAGACGCGTAGTAACATGGAGTCTATTTGTTAAATCTATACTTACCAACTACGGTGACGTTGACAGTGGTATTGTGTCCCGGACCCAATGAATTGACGGGAAGACAAGTATACCTTCCATCCATGTTGACAGTAATATTCAAAACGCCGTTACTTCTGTTTGCAATAAGGATGTCATTAACATAGAACTGATACACGTGGGCAGCAGGGTTGGCATCAGTATGGCAAATAATTGACAGTGGGTTTCCACGAAGTATTGTGGTGTTGCTAGGAGTAGTTGTAAGAACAGGGGCAGATGGCAAATCTAAATAAGCACAAAACACGTTAAACTTTTAGTCAAGGCTGTCATGTAAATAGTACATAGTCTCTCCACCTATACGCAGAAGTGACTGTCCAAGTATTCCTTTTGACGTGGCTCATCGCACGTCATCCCCGAGAGAGTGGGAGTTGGAATGTACCATACCCATCACAAGTTGAAGATGACATCTTTATAAAACTTTTTTTCAATTTGCATCTCGTGACAAGCGCTACGAAGAACACAATAGTAAGACAGAAAAGAAATATAATTTATGCTTATCAGACCAACATTAAAAAAAGTGAACCATTCTCCTGATACACGTGAAAGTTCCGCGGTGCTGTAGACGACAGACCCATAACGACAAGTTGAAATGCTCTATAAGAAGAAGTATGACTGTATGATCAGGTTTCATTGTTGTAACAGGAGGTATCAAGAACAACGATAAGTGCAAATAACCAAATCATATACTTACAAAACACTGTTACAGTAATAACTCTTGCAGGCCCTTCACCAAAATCATTGTAGGGAATACAGCTGAAATCCACCTGATTGACTCTTTCATTTAGTGATATTGTGTACACTGTAACAACATCTCCAGATGTTGTGTTAAATAAAATTTCTTGCCCTCTATAGAACCGGAATTTTGCTAGAGGATTTGCCACGGCACTGCAGGTAAGGTTAAAGTATTTACCTAAAGTAACTGCAGCTCCTTTCAAATTGGTTGTAAAATTTGTGTTCGTCGGAGTGTAATCTGAAAAAACAACATTGGAAACATCTCTTTATTATTTTCATGCAGTTATTTATTCCACCAATGCTTTTAGATTAACCAATTAACAAATGGCAAACTGCACAGCGTGTACTATTTAAGCAATAGAAAACGTTTCCCGTGTTTGCATAGCCTGATATAACACGAGCGGGGTTGGGAGAATTCGAGACAGTTATGCGTCTCGGGTTTTGCATAACTGTCTAAAATTCTCCCAACCCCTCTCGGGTTTATATCAGGCTATGCAAATACAGGAAAAAATTTTCTATTGCTTTTATAAATTAACTCTCCCGTGAAAAAACGAAAAACTCTTTGTTATGGCACTGATTAAAAGAGAAATTTTCCCCAGTCGCGAAGTTTTGCACGCGTAATCAGTTCTTGTTTTGCAAAACAGAGGCTTCCCAAAATACGGATGTTTCTCGCTCAAAATGTCAGCTTAAGCGAAAAACAATTGACATAGCATGTTTTGTAAAGATTTTACAAGTTTCAGCCTACGAGGGAATAGGTAAATAAAGTATAATTGTCGGGTCAAATTCGAATTCGTGCTTGTGTGAATAGCGCGCAAAAAGCAAAACATGTTGACGTCACAACGATGTTTACATACTCTCATGCACACATGCCTCCCGGGTAATCAAAGCGAGCGTATTATCTCAGTTATAGTGAGTTATAGTTGCACGCGGGGGGTTGCTAAGCACGAAAGAAGGGACTCTAGCTACTTGAGTGCTTAGCAATGCTCCCAAGTGCAACTTAAGTCAATAGTACAAGATAAGCCGTTTGCCGTTTGTTTTATAATATAATCAAAAGAGGAAAAGGAAACTACCAAAACATCTCACGGGAGAAAATTACCTTTGGCTTTACTGACATGCAAGATATCACAAAAATAATCATGTAGTCTTAATGACAAAATTATTTTAACAAAGACCAGCGCGCGCAACCGAATTATTTCACAAGGTTGCAGAGTGCAGGGCAAACGATTCAAATGCAAATTGTCCGAAATCTGACAAATCCTGAGGAAAATACACTTTCTTCGCTCGATTAAAATTGAAAGTCCGTCGCTTTAATCGCCATTTGAAAATGGAGTCAATTCCCATGAGAACCAGAAGGACCGTTAAAAACAACTTGTACGACATACGTTGCCATCAAAAATTAGTCAAGGCTCCACTCACTCGGATGATCATATTCCACCTACATGTGTATCGGTAAAACGCTATATCAGAGTGTAACAGCCACTTTTCAGTTTTGTAAGAACATGAACAGCTATTATAATTCACTTCCCAGTAAATGCCGTTGGCACCATTATGACTCAGTGAAGTTTACAATCATAGACTGATACTGACAAGTCAAAAGTTCGATACAAAAACGTCCCCACCCCTGGCCCCTTCCTTTAGCTTTTGCAGGAGAAATTTTAATTGTACGAAATCCTTAAATTATGATTCCCTTTTTTAACTTTTGTAAAAAAAGGACTCAGTTGGCCTCTGTTTATAAACATAATGCTTTGATATCACTAGTTGAGCTTACTCTGAACAGTGATGAAAACATCACCATTTGCTGGATTGCCAAAACCATTGTCAGCAATGCATCGATAAACTCCTTCATCTTTTATGCCATTTATAGTCAATGGAAAGGTGACTGAACTGGTATCAGTGGCTCTTATCCAGCGGACGCTTGGTGCTGGGTGACCTTCAGCTGAACATTTCAAATTAATTGTGTCATTGAGGGTTGCAGTCTGGTTACCAGAGATGTGAGTGATACTTGCAGGAACTGTTAGTGGAACCGAAACAAGCGAGAAAGTTGATGTATTGATAACGAAGGCAACACAATTAAAAATTTAAAGGCACGTGAAAGAGAAAACCTCTAAGTTATCCTAAACTATTTACCAAATTGGTGGAGTATTTGCAACGTGAAAAAACCGTAACTTGTACTGTAAAGCTTTGTTCTACAGATTATCCAGTGTCTCATTTGTAGAAGCACTTCAGTGAAAACATGACAGAAATGTTTTTTACAGCGCTATTCAATAAATAGGCCGCTTTCGATATATTAAAATTCAGCATTATAGCGAGTTTTAGAGAACACCATAAAAGAAAACGAATAAGCATTTTTAGTCATTTTCTTTGTGAATTTTAGTATATCGAAAGTGGCCCATTACGAGTGACTCGAACTGAAGGGCTCTATTTTGTTAAGTAATAATCACTTCGTCTTTGTTACACGAAGCTTGAATATATAAGAATTAAACTCTGCTTTTCTGCAAAGCACAATAACGATAACTTTATTTAAGATGACGGAGATGAACCTATTTAGCGAAGTTATCTAAGGCTATTATAGAAATGCCACTTAATCCTTGAACTTACCGTTTACTTCAATCCGTACATTGTAAGCCCACGTATCTGATCCCACCTGCACTCTGCATTGGAATGTAGCGTTCTCTCTCTTTGTCACTGTTCTTATTATCAGCGTAGAATATTTGCTCGTACTACCAATACTAAACCGTGCTAGGTAGTCATTCCTGTCATTGATTGATGAGCTTCCGTTTAGCACAAATCCAATGTCATCTGGTTGGCTTATGCCATCACCAATTGCAAAGAAAGTGAAAGCGATGTTCTGATTATGCAATAGGGTGTATTTCCATCTTACAGTGGCATTTTTACTTCCATTGACTGCCTGGATTACAGCTGTTTCAATATCAGCTGTTCCTGGGTTGGTTTGATTCCAAGCGGGAGGAGGCGATGTCCAGATAAATATCGCATCTGAAATAAATATTTTCCTTTAGCTTCAAAGATTAATACCGTGGTGTGATAACTCACAGGCTTATTCTAGAATCTTATAGAAATACGTCGATCCAAACAGCGGTATTGACTCTTGATGGAATGTCCTATTAGGATTCCTTGACTGCAGACTAGGCAGAAGTAATTTTTAAAAGACTTTAGCGAGATCATACCAGTTGAGTACTCCTCTCTTTAAATTGGCTCTGGAGAGTCACTGAATTATTCTATTGAGAAGTGCCTCTTTTAACAACCCAGCAAGTTTGAATTGCTAAGTTGATGGAAGGTTATATATCTTGTTACCACACTACACATTGTGATTTAGATTTTAAATTGCCTGTGAAGGAAACTCAAAACGCGATTGAGCTGCTTGGCACAATAAAATAAAAATAAAGAAATAAATAAACACTAGACAAGCAACAAAACCACTGATCCACGAAAACTTCGACAGTATTCTTAGTAACCAAGTTTCTTTGGCATTACTTTGTACTCTAAATCACTTTCTTCTAGAAAAGTGTTAAGTGGAGAATTGAAATGGAACAAAGCAGCACGAATGTTCGTTTAGGCAGACAGCGACAACTTACCGAGAAAGTTTATGGGAGATAATAAACTCTTATTTATCAAAAAAACTTTAAACAGTAATGATTAACAATTTCGTGGACAGTTGTCGACCTCCAATCGAAGTCATCGGTTGATGTGACAGTTTTAGCGACTTATAGCTGATTAGTGACTTGGTGAAGTTGATACAAGATGCCAAGGTGGCCAAGGAGGGACCTGGAACTATTATGTTGCTTTCAAAATGATATTAAATGTTTATTTCGGCAAACATGAAATGTAAATACCTCCAGACATCACGGCAGTTAATTACAGAGCAATTGAATTTTAACTGTTAATCATGTTAAGGAAAGAAACTGAACTCCTTACCTGATATAATAACGTCAATAAAAAAGCACAAAAGAGTAAAATAGCCAGTGAAGAATCGATGTTGTCCCATAATACTAGTAAGCATTAAAGTTCAAGGAGATCGGAATCCTGCCATTACAAATAACCATTGTTTTATCACTACTATGCGAAATCACGGAAACTGATTTACATAACGAAAATGAACAGACAGAGTCGGAAGTGTAGTTCATTGTTTCCCTTGTATAATCTTTCCCAGAGCTCGACTGACCTGTCCAGCGGCCTAAGGAAACGAGGGTATATACTTTTATGGTGGAAAGCCATAAGTACACCCGTGATATTATTTACTTATGTGTCATCACTAATAGTTAGTGGTAGTAACTGGTGGTTACTGGTAGTATCAAGTAGTGCTCGGTAGTTACTGATAGTTACTAGTAGTTACTAGTAGTTACTAATAGTTATTGGTAGCTACTAGAAGTTACTTACAGTTACTGCTAGTTACTAGTTACTGGTAGTTACTAGTAGCTACTGGTAGTTACTGGTAGTTGCTAGTAGTTGCTGGTAGTTACTGGTAGTTTCTAGTACAGTTACTTGTAGTTACTGGTCAGTGGCGGATCCAGGGGAAACTGGAAATCGCCCCCTCCCCCACTTATCTAAGGGTCTGGATGACCGCCCATCCCCTCCCCCACTTCCTCCCCCTTATCTCAAGGTGTGGACCCGGCACTGCTGGTAGGTACCGGTAGTTACTATTAGTTGATGGTAGTTACTAGTACTTGTTAGCAGATACTAGTTGTTGGTGGTAGTTAGTAGTAGTTTGTGGTAATTACTAATAGTTACTGGTTAGTATTTGTCGGTAGTTACTAGAAGTTGCTGGTAGTAGCTACTAATAGAAACTACCGAAAACTACGTTTAACTACCAACAACTACTAGTAACTACCGACAACTACTAGTTGCTACCAATAACTACTAGTAACCACCACTAACTACCAGTAACCTGTAGTAACTGCCAGTAGCTACTATTAACTACTGCTAACTACTAGATTGACTTCTATTAACTACTTATAACCAGTAGTAACTGCCGAAAACTACTGGTAAAAATTAGTAACTACAGACAACTACTTATGACAAAGTTACTGCCACTAACTATTGGTGAGAAGACACAATACTGTATATTACATAGAGTGTATATCTTCGGTGCCTTGTGGCTTTCTACCATGAAGTATATTACACCGAAACGTTGCTCAGTGGCGCTTCTTTGAAGTATAAGCTTGCTTTTAAGGTTCATCTAAACTATTCAAGTTCCTTTCACTGGACTTTTATTGCTTTAATGACTTTTGCTCGGGACCGCAGTCAGAATGTCGATAAGAGATATATTATGCGTGGCCATATCCACCATGGTGCTTGTTGGAGGTATGATAGACCTTGTGACGGTTTTTGACGCCATCTTGACGAGAATGTTGAATAATTTCCGTAGAACGGTTGTTCTGGAAAAAATATGAATTGTGAACTAACGTTTCACTCCTAAGATTCTACCGAAAAAAATTAGAGGACGTAAACCCACTTTTTTTAAAAAGTTTCTATACATTTATCTGTAAGAAAGTCCCGGGAAAAATTACAGACAAATATATGGAAAAGTTAAAGCAAATCTCTGGAGAAATTTAAGCGAGGGTACGCCCCCGAAATGTTTTAGTACAAACCTTTGTATTGTAGCTTTAGTTGACAAGTCTTTTTTTTTTTTCAGAACAGTCATTTTACCGAAATTATTCGACACTAGATTCGCATACAAACACTGTAATTTCTCACACATCTGCCTAGCTTGTCAAGATGGCGTCGAAAACCGTGACAAGGTCTATTGATAAATGCGTATACTTCAACAACTATTTATGCTTACTTGTGTAATATGAAATTCAGGGCGTCTTAAATTATACTTTATTCACAGATTCACAGGCTTTCTTTATGTGGACTGCGCCTTTTCCAGCTTGGAACCAAACTAATCCAGGAACACAAGAAATTCAAACTACAGTTATGGGAGTACTAAACGGCAGTAAAAATCATCGGTTGCAATGGAATTACACACTCCAGCCGAGCCAAAGTTTAACATTTGCCTTCTTCGGTATTGGAGATGGAAGCAGCCAACCAGATACCATAGGCTATGCGCTGAGAGGAATTTCTACAATCAACAACAGGCACGAATATCAAAGAAGGTTCAATATTGCAAGTACAAGTGAATTTTCGACGTTGATAATACGCGAAGTGACTCAAAGAGAAGAAGCAACCTTTCAGTGCAGACTCCAAGTAGACTCGAATACATGGGCCTACAACGTACGAATTTACGTCGCAGGTAATAAACCTAAGCTAAATTATTTCTAAATCATAATTTTGTTAGGAATTTTATAGAAACAGGCTAGGTCTGTTACGTTGATACGTTGTTCTCATGCAAACAAACAAGTTAATCCGTATTCGGCCCTTTTCCAATGCCTTACTTAGATTAAGTATCGAAGAAATGAACAATTTTCTTTTATTTAAGTGAAACACTGTTACTTAAAATTCATTCTCTTTTCTTGTTCTCAACATTGTGAAGTTAGATCACTCGGATTTGAATAGTCTTCATATTTATTTTTGTTATACTCTCCATTGACACGGTTTGATGGACGTTTCGAAAATATGTTACATCTATTCCAAAACAACTAAAAATCGATATAAGGGGATTTTTAAAAGATGTTTACTTAAACATGGGCAACACAGAAAATTGTTCTACAGCTTGGGGTTTTCATATAATATAGTAAATCATGGCATGTACGTTCAATTTGTCCTTGGCCTTTGGATGAGGATGAGTGAGTCCAAGAAAGAGTACCATATGTACCTCAAATCTATCAAAACACGGCCGAAATTGGCGAAGCTTTAAGATCTCCAATTAAAAATGTAATCAAGACCCATAGTCGTACAATTGGTTGCATTTCTACCTTTCAAACCTCGTCCTCCCCTTAAAAAAATGAATAATGAGTGTAGAAGGTTATGGATGAACATCTTTGACTCCCGTGAAAGCTGAGAAGCATATAAAGTTTGTTGGGGCTCTACAGGGCATTTTGCTGGGCTCTTTACTATTATTCATCAGTGTACATAAAAATACATGCCACTATATATCACACTTAATTACAGGCTAACCTTGGCCACGGTTATTTTAAAAAAATTCTGAGGCCGGACTTCCTAAAGTGTTTCTCAGAGGAATATTCTCAGTAGTAGCATGTCTGTTTATTCAGCCCTACAGGCCTTCTTAATTAATTGACACTGCCAACCGTAAACACTATAAAGTACGTATTGGCAGATATGGGCAGCAGATTTTTTTATTTGCGGACTTGGAAAGTATAACTTGATGATTACACACCAAGTTCTTGTTTATATTTCTTTAACTCAATCGAAATTATGTTATGTTATGCTTGTTTATTACCATGGGAAACTTACACTTTGGCGTATAAAAGTTATGTCCTCCATCTCTTCAGGAGAAGTGCGTGTGAAAGCTGTGGAACTTCCTCCAAAGCTTATCATGATAAATTCAATCATCACGCTCCTTGTTTTCTTGAGCCAGATGGTTGGAAGGTCCATACTCAAGAATGAAATCAAAACTTGGTTACTGTTTCCCACAGGTGCACCTAGCTTATCTGGAGTCCTGCTGGAGTATGTTATCTACAGTGAAGCCCCTATTATGTGGCCCTATTAAGCCGACAACCTTTATTGGGGGAAGAATGGTCCATTTTGCCTCATGAAATCTCTTTTCCCACATTAAGGCTGGTGGGTGTCCGTTTTAAACAAGCATCAGTCTTTTGGGTGTTGCAAATGGACAGTTCCTTAACACACTGCAAAGAAGCACCTACACGAAGTGAATCACCACGCCTGTCTCCTTTGTAAAAACGCTAAATATCAAGGCATTATCCCTTTAAATAGGGTGAACTATAAAAACTAATGCTAACTCGAAGTGTAAGATCAAACGTCAACCTAGATAAACTTAAAGTTAGATGCAAATATCTTTTCTAGCTTATCTGAGTATTCATATATTGAACCTCTACTGCTTGTTACACAGGGCTGTACATGTGCATGCACTTCGTTCCTGTGCTACAAACTATATTGTAAAGTATAAAGTACTAAATAGATGATTACATTTAAGTTACCATCTTATAATTAATAAGAATTGCATTGCACTAACAAATTTGCATGAAAACCAGACAAACATGTCTATCAACTTTTGTACAGCATTTCATCCATCACATTTAGTGACCACAAATAAATTTCCACTTATTGCTTTAAACCTAAACTAAGGGAAAGATCGTTGTGAAAATATAAATAATAAGCAACAAATCGAAAATATTCATTTTCACTAAACGTCATGTTGCTATCGCAACACACATTTCAATCCTGTTGTTCAGATATTTTTAAAACATGTTTCCAGTTATTGGTGGTTGTTGAAAGACCAATTATAATTCTTTTTTTAAGGTGTAAAACATATCAAAACTTTGTTCTATAAAGTTCTCTTCTCATCAGTAGTAAGGTTAGAATGCGGTAAAAATTTCCATAAAAATCAGACAAAAAAGTCGTCTAGCGACGTTTTTGCAGCATGTAATCAGTCACAGTTAATGACCAAAGAAATTTCTAAAACTTGCATTAAACCCATTAAACCTAAGAACGACTTTTTAAGTATATGTTTTTAATGAGTCAAGATCATTTCACTATCTGTATATTGATAAAGACTAATGTTTCCAAGAAAAGGAAAGGTTAATATAGAGAGAACAAACCGGTTCCACTAAAATGCCAAAAATGGCCATAAATCGCAGGAACGAGGAAAAACAAAACAAAAGTGAGGTTAGCCGATTTTTATTTAAATCCTTTCAGATACGTAGGTTACAAAAACAAATATTTTTTCCCATACCAATCCTTATATTTTGAAGGTTACTCGACAATGCTGATGTCATATTTCGAGCTTGATCCAGTTGGTTTGATTTGGTTATTGACGTTTTTAACATTAAGCTTTCTTTCTTTGCTCAAAGGTTTCTTTATTTGATTTTGTAGATCCACCACGTATAACTCACATCTCTGGGAATCAAACTTTGAAAAAGGGTGATATCGTAAGCCTTAACTGCACGGCAAGAGGTAATCCAGCACCAAACATCTCATGGAGTAGAGTTTCTGATGGAAGCGTTGTAACTTTTCCACTGAACGTCACAAGTCACCATAATGGAGCCTACAGATGCACTGCTGATAATGGGTACGGAGACCCATCTACTGCTGTAGTCTCCGTTTCTATTCAAAGTAAGACCATTATGCTTCACCTTACAGTTAAATGCATTTGTTAAAAAGTTATGTATGACCAGATAGCCCATAAAGTCAAGCAAATTCATATAATCCTTGTTAGACTAAGCTAGAACGGCGAAAACTGACTGCTGTATTCACGGTTTGATACTGTTCTCCTTTACTAAAAGCTTTGGATAGAATGTAGCAGATTTACGGACACTATGGGTTTTATTTTATCGTTCAGTTATCGTTTTATTTGCCTTTTGATTTTCAATCATTTAAATGTATTGAAAATTGTTAAAGGGGGGTTTCAGCTACAGCTCATTAGGAATGGAAATGCTTTTTAACGTTCCTGTCGATTCCTGTCAATTGCTTTTTAGAGAAGGTCGCTTTAGTTCTAGAGGTCAAAAGATTATGTTTAACAATCAGTGCGTTATTCGAGTAAAAATAACCTTTAGTGGCTAGTTTGCCGTTAGTTAGTCTTGTTAATTCTAATTTATCTATTCTGTCGTTTATACAGCTCCTTCAGATATCCGCTACATCTCTGGTAACCAGACAGCAAATCGAAATGAAAATGTTACGCTTATCTGTAAAGCTGAAGGCAATCCAAAGCCTAACATTACCTGGAAAAGACTTAATGATGGACGTTTCACCACTTTTCCTTTGACAATCACTGGTAAAGAGGATGCTGGCGGCTACAGGTGTACTGCTGGGAACGGCGTTGGTGATCCAGCTGTTGCTGACGTCTTTATAGCTGTTTTAAGTGAGTCAAACGTTATTCTATGAAGGGCTTCGCGTATGGTATAAATAAACAGAATTTTGTCCACAGTATAAAACGTGAATTTTAAGAAGATGAAAGGAACAAAAAAAGAAGGAAAAGAAAAGAAGAATATAAGAAATGAAGTGAATAAAAAGACTGCTACCATTTGACGTTAGTAGATGTATGGATAGGTTATAGGTTAAAATTTCTTTCTATTACAGGCGCAATAGAAATAGTGTACGGCAGTAGATAATAAAGCCGATTTTATGGCATGTCTCATTACTGAAAATGTCATGTCTTAGGGTTGGTGACTGTTTGTCCTTCTGCCTCATTGAATATACGAGTAAGCGATCGATTACAACTCGCATAGCATAAGAGCAAAAGGGGAGGGGTGGATGAGTATCCCGATATCGTTAACACACTACAATACCTTATCTAAGCAAGTGTCACATTGGAGATTATATGACATAAATACTCCTTAGCTTACACGGTATTTCTCTATACAGAACGTTTCTAACAAATGAATATACTGCAGAGTGCAGACATGGTCTAAACATAGGATCCCCGGTTGTGAAACTGTTTATCAGAACGGCTTTCACGTTATTCAATTGGTGGGAAAATAACAAAAACAGCAACATTATCCGGACATATGTTTTGCAACTGACTGGACAGTGATAACAAAGTAATGAAGAGTTAGTAAAGTATAACCGATAGTATCGATAGTACATTACCTGTCCGCATGTTATACCAGGGGCGGATCAGGGGCGGACCTAGGAGGAGGGTACATACATAGACCTAAAATGTTCGTTTGTCCGGTGCCGAAAATATCACAAGTCATGATGAAACGGCGCCGCCGAGCTTCACATCTCGCTAGATTTACTTTGTGGCGCAACGGCCGCCGAAACTTTTGAAAGATGAACGTTTTGAAAGATTCAGCAAAAACAGACCGATTGTAGACCTTCAGCAAACTCTTGAAATATGTACGCTTTACGAAGATTCAGCAAACTTTTAAAAGATGAACGCTTTACGAGGAGAGAATAAAAGACGTCAGCAAACGCTTGAGGACGTACGAATCACACGTGAGGTAGTTCGTCAAAGTGAGGTAAAACGTGAGCAAGCGCCTCAAAGCCGGGCAAATGTGTGTCGACGACGACGACAAATGCAATCCGGAAAAAACCTCTCTTATTAATTGCACAGGGAACCCAATAATGCACAAAACACCCAACACAAATTAGGGGTTGCGTTCTCGTACCTCGAACGCAATTATCTCAGAAGTGTAACGTCGCTTATTGCACCTTTTAAAAAACATTGTATGGTGTTTAAATCTACCTGGCTGGCTCCATAGACTGGAAGTGCGTACGTGATCTTTGGCAGATCGATAGCCTTAAACAGGTGGCCTATCTCTACGTGTATCCATCTTTTCTTAGTGATCTTAAAATGTACAAATGCTTGTTTTCTTCCCGAAGCTTTCCCTTAACATGAGATGAGAACTTACAGTCGTTTTGTAATGTGACACCTAATAGAGAAAGACTGTTATTCTGTTCTATGCCACATACTGGGGGAAAGTTAGACACCTTTTTTAACCATACAGAGTTCTTTGCATTTGCTTGTGTTACAGCTCATACCATTAACCTCTGTCCACATTTTTTTTTGTGATTCATCTACACTGTTCTTAAACACAGCCACAAGAATAGAAGTGTCGTCAGCATACTTTAAGTAAGATCGCTATCCTGGCAGTACTGAGTGACGTAAAGATCGTTTAAGAACAGGTTAAACAAATACGGGATACTGACGCTTCTTTGAGTAGTACCTCGGTTGACATCCTTCCAGTCACAAACAGTATTATGACATGATTATGTGACGGTCTCTCTGTCACCTTTTATACCGGTTAATTGTCTTTTATTATGGCAGTCACCACTTGATCAATCAGAATTTACGGACTTCTCGGAAAAAAAAGACTTTTGTCCCTTAATAAAGCTTTATGTACATGTCACATAACCCAAACAGGACAGAACTTTTCCCCTCTATGTCCCATTATTGCCCTTTGATATATATCTATCAATGAAGTAGTCCGAGATGAAAATGCGTTGTTTCACTAGTATATCCCCTTGAAAAGTTACGGATTAAAAACGACGTTTCGACCGATCTTCGGTCATTTTCAAGTACGTAAAAAAGTTAATAGAATTAGCATATATATGTGTAAGGTGTAAAAATATGTTAAGAACTATAAAAAATGATAGAAGAATGAAATAAAGTATGCAGAATAGAAAAACAACAGTAGAATCTAATTTTAAAAAAACTTTTGCACGAAGTGAGTCTGATTGTACATTGAGACTAGGTCTCAGTTCATTAATAAAACACATTTCAAACACCAGGCAGTCAAATTTGCTTTTACATTTCTTTAAAATGCTAAACGTATTACTAAGGTCTTTAGGTGCTGAAGAATGTTTAACACGAAAGTGCTGACCGATGGATGAACGTGCGCTTTTTTTTTCTGCATGCTTTATTTTATTCTTTTATTATTTTCAAACATTTTTAATAGTTCTTAACATATTTTTACACCTTACACATAATTATATATGCTAATTCTTTAAACTTTTTTACTTACTTAAAAATGACCGAAGATCGGTTGAAACGTCGTTTTTTATCAGTAATTTGTACTGTTAAGTTTTAGAAAACCCTTACTTATATATCCCCTTGACATTACTTATGTTTTAAATTTTCAGTTCCGCCGGAAATAACTTTCATCTCTAGCAACCAGACGGCCAATCAACATGACTTAGTGACGTTGAACTGCTCAGCTGATGGAAATCCGCGACCAAACATTTCCTGGACAAGAGTTTATGATAACACCATCGTCGCATTCCCACTGACCATAGTTTCTAAACAAGACGAGGGAGCGTACAGATGCACAGCCCATAATGGCATTGGTAGTCCAGCCACCGAAGAGGTTTTTATAGAAATGAAAAGTATGTAAATGTTATTGTTTTCCGTCAATAGAAGTGGGCTTTCATCAATAGCGCTGCGCACAGATGACGTCACAAAAACGTCTCAAGAACGCTGTATGGAAACGGCACAGTTTGCGATCAGTTCTCCTCGCCGTTTTAGCGTTTCAGGAGCGTTCCAGTTTCGAAATTCGAGGAACGTCCAGGAAAATATAGTGTAGAACAAATCAAAACATTGCTCAAGTGCAACAGATTGAAGCAGAGTGGAAAATGAGAGAACTTTGAAACGCCGTGTCTCGATACCTTATTTGCAACCCAGCCGGTAAATGTTTTCAAAGAATTCTCATCAAATTCTTTAAAGAAAATTTGATAATTGTTTAGAAATTTCTATTTCTGTGCCGAAGTAGAAAGAGTCGTAGTCGTACCAGATATTCAATAAGTTTAGATTTTCACTGACACAAAACACAGCGTACTTCGCTTTCTTTCCGGATTTCTCGCATTTATTTAGTGATTCAGGTAACTTTTTCAGGGATCCTTGAGTCCCTCTCACATTCTTCCCAGCTGCAACGCTTGTTCTTTACCATATTCCGATAAAAATACGCGAAAAAAACATTGTTTTGACTCAACACTCGGTAAACGCGCATACAAAGCGTTTGAGTGAGAAGCAAAGTTTGTCTGAGTCATGCGGGGGGTCTTATCAGACGTAGACTATTAGAATCTGTGCGCAGCGCTATTTGGTTCTCTCTTTCCATGAATAGTTGTTAACAATAATGCTGTTCTTATGAATTTGTAGATCATACCTAGTTACTCTAAGAACTGGAAGGAGAGGGTATTGACGCAAGTCTCCAGGATGAATGGCTTTTACACAATTACTTTGTTCAGAATGTTTTTGTTTGTTTGTTTGTTTGTTTTTTTTTTTATCAAAAAACTCTCTCTCACACACACTCTAAGACTTCCTTATATTGTCTGTTAGGGATGTCCGAGGTCAGACCTGTAAAAATGAAATAGATTGTTGGTTGATTATACAACAAGTATGGCAAATAAAACTTTTTTTTTAATTCTGAACTCTATATTCTACTTGAATCCATAGATGGCGTCCTCATCAGGAGGAACGTAATTCTTAATCTGTCACCCATAAGAATTGTCGGTTTATGATTAGAGACTTAGAAAATTTTGTATAACTTTATACATTAATTTCACATTGTTATCTAGATAATCCCAAGACTATAAAACTAAGACAGTGTCCTCAGATGTAATAGTTTTCTTTCCTAAATGCGCGAAGGGCTGTCTTAGCTGTGCCGAATGTTTTATGAAAGAAATCTGAGCTGCAAAGAAAAATTAATTTCCAATCTTAAAATGTTTGTCAGATGATAACACAATTTTTTGTTCCTAGACTATCGGCCTATGGACACATCTCTCACTGTGAATATGACTGGAAATGACACTATTATAGTGAATACAATCATCGATCTCCTCTGCAGTGCAAAGGCCGACCCACCTGCAAAGTATCGGTTCTACAAAGGTCTAGAGAGTTTGTTTAATACTACACTCGAAAGCAACGCAGCGACATTTACCACGTTAGTCAGGGAAAGAAAAAGTCGGGTGAAATTTAGATGCACACCCTTCAATGACTTTGGTGAAGGTCCCACAAGAACAATAAATTTAACAGTCAGATGTAAGTACAGACCTGTAATCATTATTTTGTACTTGACTTAAACTTTTCACTCTTAGATTGACAGTTCCTTCTCATGATACGTTTTTGTTTTCCTCACCAGCATTTTAGCGGATAAAATGTGGAAATTTTGTTAAACTTGACTTTGGCCACTTTGGAGTGAACGGTTTAAGGGCCTTCTGGTGAAAACAAATCTGTGGTGTCATTATTTGACAGGTGACCAAGAAGATAACTTCTCAAAGCCAGCGACACACTTTTTTCTGCAGATCTCCTTTCTCAAAAATTACAACTTGTTGTCTCCTTACCCGTTCAACAAGGTTCAGCATAGAGCAATTTTCAATTGAGTGTTGAAAGTAATCCAGGATTGAATTGGTTTTGCTTTACTGTGCTGTTTGATTGGTCTAGAAAACTCGCGCCACCCTCTCAGCTAATCAGATGTAAACTAAAACCAATCGCTCCTTGGTCACTCGCGTTTTCCCGCGCTACAGGCCGGTTACACGCGTTTACTTCGAGTTGCCATTGGCTCCCTCTAATAATTTCCTTACTCTGATTGGCCGTTGTGATTACTTTGGTTTTGGTTTTCGACACTCAATTGAAAAGCGCTCTAGTAAATGGGCTATTTCAGTGTTCAACATAAGTGGCAATCTCATGATACCATTTTCGTCTTTGTTGAACAGAAATTTCAAAATGCGTTGATCAAAATATTTTGACCCCTTGGTCACTGGATTATACGGGTTCGCGTTATACAGGTTTGATTCCGTCACTGAAACTTGATAAAAAAAAAAAATAACAATTGGCGATAGTAACTATCCGTAGATTTTCAAACCTTTTTGACTCCATGTTGTTTGAGCCTAGGTTCTCTTTTCTATTCTTAGATCCTCCAGCGATTTCCTATGTTTCACCAGAACGTGAAGAATACATGGAGGGAAATGACGCTCTACTATTCTGCAATGCAACTGGAAATCCACCACCCAGCATATATTGGACAAAGCAAGGAAGCAACTTCGCTCTCTCTTCATCGGAGACTCTACATCTTACCAGTTTGAGGGCAGATGATGGGGCAGTGTATCGATGCAAAGCCGAAAATTATCTTGGTTCATCGGAAACTAATATCGCAATAACAGTCCTACGTGAGTGTTCACTGTTATTGTTTTCAAGTAGTCACTGGCTCATTGAAAGTTAAAGGTTCAGACATCTAATGTCGTGCTGCCGGCATATAGGGACTAAGCAGTTGTGCACTTTCCAATCGGTTTTGGAAGGGCGCAATTTTGGCGCGTGACCGGTATTTCGGTATTTCTGTTGGTCATCCAAAAATTTCTCTATCGAGGTAGAGTCTGTAGGTTAAGGTGATTATTTTTCAAAAAAAAATTAATTGAAATTTTTACTTAGGGAAACCAAGTGTAAAGATTCGAATGTGTACTACACCAGTTATGGAGGGTAGAAATGCATCACTTGAATGCGCTACCACTGGTATCCCAGTGCCCAGTATTGCCTGGATCAGAGCAAGTACCAGGGAGGTTGTTTCATACAACAAGACGCTTGTCATCGAAGCTATTCAAAGGAATCATTCTGGAAGCTACCAGTGTCTTGCTTGGAATCGAGTTGGTAATAGCAGTGTTTCGTGCACAATCGACGTACACTGTAAGTCACTCTGTGTGTTTGTTTTCTGTTTCGCTTGTTTCTGGATAAGTAAGATTTGAAAACCAGAGTTATACACGTAACTTTAACAATTTATCTATGCAGAATAGTTATACTGGTTGAAAAAAGTGAGTGAAATAAAGCAACTGGAACAAAAGAATGCGCATCAGAATGACTTTTATTTGAAAAGGCATAGAATTTGATCTAGTTCTAACGAAAACACTTAACAATGTCCTTTGATAAGCCGGGAAAGTATTCTCGTAAGTAAAAGGTTTTGGTTTGCTTAACGACGCTGCAAGCTTATTGAAATAATTATAAAAGTAAGTTAAAAGTAATGGGATAATGTATATAAAAATAATCTGCCATCTTAACTCCTCCCATTAAACTACCTTATTATAGGAAATTAACGCTTCATAAAATTAACGCGAATTTCCAAAATTCGCGTTAATTTTGGACGCGTTAATTTTTGTTGACGTTAATTTCCGTGCCGTAAGTTAAGTGTAGAGTTAATTTCCATGACCTTAATTTCCATTGTTTTGACTCCAAATTGTCAATACCTTCTGACATTCTTGCCCTAAGAAAGAGGAATATTTTTATCAGGGTGAAGTTCCACCAGTAACAGAGAAACTTTGTAGAACTTGAAGTTGCCTGATTTCTTCCCTTAAACAAGTCGTACGTTTAAGGAAAGAACCGAGAACAAACAAGTATCCATTTCGGATTCCAAGTTAACTTAAATCCTGTTGTCTCAACAAGTTTTGTTTTTTTATAAACGTTGTGTTAATTTCCTTTATTTTGAAATGTTACCCTCTCTTCCACGTTAATTTCCTTTATTCGAAAATCGTTTTCCACTAAATCCGCGTTACTTTAAGTCGCCTTAATTTCCAATACCTCAATTTCATGGAGCGTTAATTTCCTATAATTAGGGTGCATGTTTTTTGTTTCTCGATAACCGGGATGGGATGCATTGCAACTTTAACGAGTCGAGCCAAAATTGTCTGGTTCAACTCATGTCAGGCCACTAGTAAAAACCGATCATGCCCTTTTTGTTTCCTTTGAAGAGAATCACTTGACATTTTTTTTTCCTGTAGACTTTCTAAAATAAGCATCGTTGACTGAGTTTACTTAGTTTTAATTTCAGCTCATTCATGTGGACCTACTGTAGCTATGACATCGCCCCTTTTAAACTCCTCACTTAGTTTACTCTGCCTTTTGCATCACAGATCCTCCTTCTGATTCATCTCTCAAAGCAGTACACGGTAACACCGCGGTGCTACGTGGTTCTTCTATCACACTAATCTGCAGTACAGACGCCAACCCTGGGGCAAATGTGTTCCTTTTCTATTTCAATCTGAGGCTCCTAGTTGTGAGTAACTCAGGCGTTATTAATGTCACCGTCGAAGAGGATGGAATATTCACGTGTATTCCTGTCAACCCAGTCGGCTCAGGTCGGACTTCTCAAAGTGTAATAGTCGTTGGTACGTTGCTATATATATGCTAGTTATGCAATGCTTTCGAGTGGAATACCGTGAAATATCCCACAAGTGAGACTTTTTTTTTTCTAAATATACACACTAGGCTTTTGGGCGAGTGTGTATACAAAGAATAATCAATTCACACTTCGGATATTCATGATACACCATGAGAAAGCATTTCATAACTAATTTATCCCATGCCACTTAAGCTGTCTACAGACGCCCCCCTCCCTCAGAAAAAAATCGGGAGAAGAGACGTCTGTGAATCGCCGTCGTTAATTGTGTTCCCGTTTCCCCGGAATATTGGGGAAAGCCTCTGATTGGTTGTAATGTTAATGCCATGATGCAAATAATTTTTGGTGTTGTGATTGGTAAATGAATCTCAGTCGTTGTGGACAGCTTACTGCATTTATATTCGTTTACTTGTATTTCGGCTCTCTGGAAAAGGCATGTCAAGTTAAAGGACCCAGATGTTTGCTGCACCGGTTGCCGGTGAGTCTGTTCTCTTCCGGTGGCTATTGGAAATAAAAGAGAAGGATGTACAGAATTCAGCGCTTAATCAGAGATCTTATACCTGGGTTTTAGCGTGGAAATTGCGGGAAAATGTTCGGCTAGCCTGTTACAGACGTCCCCTGGCGTCTGTACAAGGCTCATTCGACCTACATGTGGGGGTCATGACTCGTAGAATAGGGCAAAAGTAGAACTACATTTGTAATATAATTCCTTGCTGAAGAAAAGTGAATGATCCTACTCGAAATCATTGAATGGATCAACTCCTGCATAAAGGGCTTGACTGGAAGAGTAAACAGTGCTCCCGAGATCAAAATTTTGTCAAACCAAAAACCACAGGAAATCGATGCACAGTAAACAGACCGACTTTATGAGCTAAAAGAAGACCGAAGAATGTGTTAGAATCTTCGAAAGCATATGGTATTTTAGCTATATATTCTAGTTAGAGATTACTAGCTTAATTAGCTATAAAGGTTGAGAACATCCGAGAGAATAACTGCGTACGTGCTCTAAAACTAAAAGAGCCCAGAGTCGTGTTGGTCTGTCAGCACCTTTTCAACTGTCAAAGAAAAAAAAAAAATTATTTATGCGTATGCATACCAGAACACGATTAACGACGGTCATTCACAGACGTCTCTTATCACGATTTTTTTTTCTCGGGGAGGGGGGACGTCTGTACACAGGCTAATGCCACTAAACATCACAACCTAAACTGAAATAAAGAAACCTCGATATTACGGTCAAACTCGAAGAAAGTTACTTTTAAGCTACATACAATGCCCAAATGATCAACAGCTTATAGTTCGTATTCAGATTTGTCTATAGTACTTTACCTGCATCCTGAAGATTAGAAGTGTCGAATGTTTCTGAAGGGATTTTGCAACACTGGTTAACTGGTTTGTTGTCCTGCTGGAAGTTTTGGGAAAATGAAAAGTGTAACCCGCCACTATCAGCTCTATTTTCGGGGGGGAAAAGTGGAGCCGCAGGTATCGCCGGCATTTTTTCGTGAAATACTACCCTTTGGATACCGCAAATTAAACCAACGGATCTCTAACTCTCTGATTGGGTGTATTCTCTATCGCATGGGAAAAAGTAAATTAAGACATCGGTCAAAAGCTATCTTCCTTAAAAACTAAGGGAGTGGTCTGTCTGCGAAAGTGTTTAAAAAGAGGGGGTCTTAATAGAGGATTTGCACTGTTTGTAAGGAGACTCTTGAAAGTAGAGCTACCTTGCAAAAAAAATGATTCCTTTAAAAAGTATTTCGTAGTATAATAACTTAGAAGCAACAAAGTAAAATTACTTTGTGGGCGATTTACAGCCAAAATGATTATAAAGCTCACCGTAAAAATGAACAACATAAACGTCTGACGATTGGCCGTGCAGACGTACGTAGGACGTATCGAGGTACAGACGCCGAGCATTAAAAAGAGCGCATGGCAGTAAAAGTCATATTATTAAATTTATTATCGTCATTGATCATGAAATCGCTTTGCACCCGCACTATTTGCTAATTACGTGGTATTTCACATCAACAATTTTGTGTTGTTGGTATGGTCTTTGTTAGTTATCTTTCAATGTTTGTTGTGATTATTCGTTTAGCCGACTCCGTTTGTATCCCTTTAGCAAAAGACAATTACATCAAGTAACATAAATACTTGAAAACAAATGTCTACTGGCAAAGACTTCCCAGAAATTAAGGAGTAGTGAAAATGACCGGAATGGCGCCATTGTGTTGCTATGTGAACTTGATCTAAAAAAACTCCCTTATTTGAAACTAATAAACCAAATCTATACCCTACAATAGCATACATATGACTTAGAGTGCTAAAGTAAGGTATCGTCACTGTAAAACCGAGTGAGACCACCTTGTTTTCTGATGCTATCTTATCGCGAGGCTTTCTTCGATCTGAAATACGGAAAATATTTGACATAAAAGCTTTGCTTCCTTATTTCTCCGTTGTAGCGAAAAAAGCCTTAAACTTCCTTTATTTTATAACTTACCTTCTCTGGATAAATATGCTTTTTTTATTTTGCAAGCAAATATAATTCGACTTGAAGTACCGGTTGAGAAGTTGAATGGACTAGAAGCTGAGTATCGTGAAGAGTATGATGATCTTAACAGTGTTCCTGCAAAAGCATTTGTGGACGAATTTGTAAATGAGGTATGCCTTTGAACCTGTGATCTCCGTACCGTCAAATTCAACGAAATTTCTTCGGCCATTACATGTATTTACTAGAGGGAGAAGGGGACAAAGCGGAGGGACCTCCCTGATTTTTCGTTTAAGATTACGATGTAACCCACGTCACATGACATCAGGTTTTCACACATATGACTTTCTCTTTAGATAATTTACACCATCCTCACCATTTTTACGCTGCCGATCCGACAAGAACAAAAGATTCTTATAGTTGAATCTCTCCTAGCGAAAACCTCTGTATTACCCACAGTTCTCTTGGCTCAAACGAAAACAAACTTGGTGTTTTCATAACTTTTCTAACTCTAAAATGCGGAGCACTTGGCTCTGTTGCTTGGTGTCCGTATCAAGACTTTTTGACTGAATTTCCTTTTTTAAAATAAGCCCTTCTGTTTAAAAGTCAAACAGCAGGTACCAATTGGTGGTTTGAATTTAAACGTGTCAAGGCGTCCATGCTGGTGGACAAAATATTTTTTTTCGCTGAATTTGCTTAGAAGTAAAAAAAGTTATAAAATAATTTCCCAGCGGAGAGAAAAGGTTTCTGATCTTGTCAATCAGCATGGCCGCCGGGAAGTCAGCAGTAAACAGCAAAATTGAAGGTACTGATTAATTGCCTGGTGTCAAGAACTATTTAACTATTCCTTCCAAGTCTTGCTTGTGATTAATAATATCAACTGACACCAACCCTCATGTACAATTTCCAGTTGGGCTTTTAACCAGTACGTTTCTTTTGCTGATGCTATCATTTTTTCTTTGAAAACTTCTTTTTCTGACTTTCATCGAATCCTCTTTTTGCCTTTACAGATAAAAAAGGTGTATACGAATAATACCATCTATGAAAGAGCTATTGTGACGGGACTCAGGTATGTGTCCTACTTAAGTCAAACTAATAATTAAAGTAATTATACTATATCATTTATTGTTTTGAAATACAGTTACGTTTTAGTATAGTAAAAATATAAAGTGAACTTCTCCTTACTATATTATACAAGATTCGATTAGCTCTGATAATTACAAGTAGTCTGACTAGTCTTGATTTTCTATGTATTACTAAATGTAGTTCCATTTGTGTAGTCGACTTTTCTCAGACTTGCAGGCAATAAAAATGTGCCTTTTTCCCTTTACTTCTTTGTTTCCAGGAGTGGAAGCATTATTGTTAATTTGGAGATACATTTCAAAACGCCTGTCACCACAAATGAAGGGCTTTCTACATTACGAAATGTTGTAAGTGATGGAAGCCTTGGCCCGTTTACTGTTGGAACCTTAAAAATTATAACAGGCGTGCTCCCCCCGAGCACAACTGAAGCTACATTTACGCCCGCAGACGTACCAAAAGGGAAAACTTCGACTTCACTCGGTGAGTTGATTATTTCCTTCCAGGGTTTACCCAGAGCAAAAACCGAAGGGGCACCCTTTGAAGTCAGCCGAAGTATTTTACTATTTACCTGAACAGGTCGCTCACAGTACAGAACAAAATAAATGGGCAGACATGAAGTTGCAATTGTCAAGCACAAATCACATTCACTTAAAATAATGATTTCAGTTACACAATACCTCTTTAGATTCAACGATCAGATTATGCTAAATGAACTTTACCCAACTAGAATAACGAATTTGGGGAAAACGAAAGGATAATAGACATATAATATAAAATTTTCAATTTAAACCGTCTGTGGCCCTTGCCACTTTTTCAAATTTATTAATAAATTATCATTGTTGCTGTTTCGTTGACGTAATACCTAATAATGTAGTAGTTAAATCCACATTTGGGTAATTTTTGTGACGTCAGTTCTTGGTGGAAGTACGGCGCGTGCGACACACAAAACTTAATTTACCCGGGCATTTTAACACAGTTTGAAATTGAATTATAGAAAAACACCAAACTTGTCAAAACCCAGTATTGAATCATAAAAGAAAACATTATTTAATACAGTGCGTTATACATAACTTGTACTTATATAATATCCCACGACATTGCACGCTAAACCGTCCAATAAGAGATTTTTATTATTCAACTTAAGGTTTATATGGAACTCAGTAAATATTTATAGCGAGAATGCGCGACAAGCCGTAACTCCTTTACAAGTGAAACTGGTTTAATAAAACAATAGAGCTTATGTTTTTTGGCATAAATATGTTTTGGGTCCGACTCAGCCCGAGCAGCATGCCAGGTGAGGGTTAAATATGTTCTGAGAAGGGCCCAAAACATATCTATACTCATGCAGAACGCAAGAATTTACCGCGCTTGGTTGCCCTCCGTAATCTATTCGCTATAATTGTTTTCTCCTTTCCTACAGCATTACCAAATTTCGAAAAGTTTCCAGAGAGCGACCAGGCACGGTAAATTCTCGCCTGGTGCATAAGAATTTGTTGTTTTGCTAAACTCGAGACAATAGGAAATCCCAAAGCAATAGCCAGATCTATGACATCGCTTCAATATTTACTCAATTTTGCGCCTACGGTAGACAACATAAAACGTTTTTAATGGAGACGAAATTCAGGGATTTATAGTACACTGATCAATTGCAGCAATGAAATTTTGTGAAGTAAATCTATCGACGAATTATTTCATGAAAGTAGCCTTAAAAGAGCTTAGCATTGCGTTTGACTGATTCACATGTTCTCATGTTTTTTTAAAATCGCGCAAGTCTACTTGCGTTTAGCCGGTTGTACAGTGTACAAAGCTCATTTGCAAAACGAATGAGTGATAAAAACTTTTCGGAAACCTCTGATAGCTAGGTAGCAAATTTGTCTGCATTAAGTCTAGCCTTCACTTCAGGCATAATATTATTTATACCTTTGTTTGTGAAACTATAGGTAGCGTGAGGCATTTCCAAAGAAATTGCCGATAAGGGCAGAAATTCGATTTAGAGCTAAAACTATTATGACGTCTCTGTCACGTGATATTTATTCCGATCGCACAAAAAATAAGTATAGGTAATAGCATAATTTGTAGTGATATTTGGCATATTTATGCCAAATATCATGTACAAATTATGCTATTATTTTTTTATACTACTTACCGTAAAAGGTTTGTAATTTTTAAGCAGAAATGCCACTGCTCTAAGCCAATCATATTGCAGAAATTTCTCATGTGGTAGTATAATAATTTTTATGTGTAATACATGTGTTATAATGTTTTTAAAATAAAGATCAATTTGTTAAAGTATAAGAGATTAAGGGATACTAGGTGTACCCAAACAAATGCTGGGTCGAACCACCTTAATTACAAAGAAGGGGAAAAAGGGGCCAAGTCAGTGTTTCTTCGCCCCATGGATATCTCAACAGGGATAAGTTCTCGTCTAGTAATTGTGTAATGCTTTCCATGTATGGTCTATAATTACCAACGACAGTTGCCAAAATTCTGGAAATGTGTATAGCTCAATAGTCCATCCACTTTGAATACCAATAAAATTGAACCAACCCATCAGAAAAGTGTGTGCTTAGCGAAAAGGAAATCATCAGTTACAATGCTTACGGAAGCGCGCAAATTTTTAGCAACAAAGGTATATTTGTTACTCAATCTTTTTGGATAACAATGAAATTTCTTTTTAATTTTTCCGATTTTTGTGAAATTTGAGGACTTCTCGTTGCCTTTCTTGGCTTTTTCTCTTTCTAACTCTAGAATTCTGTTAAATTTGTTATTCTTGCTATTTTTGCCATTTTTCAAGTAATTGTCAGTAGTTATATGGTGGTATAGTCAGAGCATACTAATCCTGCATACTAATTAAGTGCCTAGTCACTGCCTTCCTGTATATTAATTAATACCATGGCCACAATTTAATTTCACGCACGCGCGGTAGCAGTGGACACTTAGAAAAAATTCGAACAGAAAACAATGAAAATTTTATAAAGAAATGTGAGATAAGTAAAATAATTTGCGATACAGCAAGTCGCGCCGTATACCTGAGCACTAGGTTGCGATTGAGATTGAAAGGTTGACTCATTTAGATCTTAGTTTTGACAAACTTAAAGTCCCACCTTCAAATCTCGAGCTTCCCAGAATGGAAATAAAAATACGAAAAAATTGCTTGCGTCTTCCATAAGATTCTATTGCAAATGGAGCACTGCCACCTCGATTAACCTTTTTTCTTTAGTAATTAATGACAATTTTGCTGGGAAACTCTCTTAGGTGGCGATGAAATCTTCAAGTACAAAGTCTTATCTTTCTATCGTGAGTTTTTTTGTCCACTGAAAAAGCATATTCTTCCTTCGCAGGTTTAAAGAATTTGGAGTTAATTCTATTTATAAATACGTGCTTCTACCACACGGCTTAAATCCAAGACCTTCGCTCTACAATATCTCGGCCAAAAATCATCTAAATTGTCTCCAAAACCTCTTGTTCGAAAGCTTATTTCTTTGAGTTTTCATCGCCATCTTTGGCTGTGGCAATATTTTTGATCAGCGGCTTTTATTTGACCATAACCAACTATGTATTTGACCACTTGAACTTTCCGAACATTATGAGGCCGGGAATCAGAGTAAAAACCAGCGGTTAAAACCATTGCGAAACAGTCTGAACAACAGTCAAGTCGCGCGAAATTTGACGGGTGAGATTTCTGGACATGGTGCCTAGTCAGTTTCTAGCTAGCTAGCGAAAAAGTGGGTTCCTCGATATGTAATGAGCGTGTCTCTTATGCAATAAGAACAGTAGGGTTGCCTAGCTAGACTTGCCCGTAAAGTAACTTTAGCCCGGTTTCTCAAACCGTCTATTAAAAGAAAAGAATAATAGGAATAATAGGAGCCATCACCTAGCAACGAGAGAAACAGCTTAAGTCTTCTTATCTAGCGCTGCGCACAGATGACGTCACAACAACGTGACCCCCACCGAGACTCAGACAAACATTGGCCATTTCTGCTAGAGGTCGCAAGAACGCTGTATGGAAACGCGCAGTTTGCTACCAGTTCTGCTCGCCGTTTTAGCGTTTTTAAGAGCGTTCCAGTTTCGAAATTCGAAGAACTTCCAGGAAAATATAATGTAGAACAAATGAAAACATTGCTCAAGTGCAAAGGATTGAAGCAGAGGGGAAAACACCGTAAGATAGGTTCTTTTCATGTCTTTACTCTATAAATTCCAAACAATTAATTGTACAGAGTGCGTATTGGAAGCTAATTAACGTATCTACACCAATAGCATTTTGAAATAAATTAATTGTCCGGCTTAAATACACCTGTCTTCCAACTTGGAGCGCTTAATTTTACACACAGTACAATCTTCAACAGGTAGGATCGAAATATTACAACTAGTATAGTCTGTTTTAGGATGGAATATATTAATATTGTACTGTCTAACGTATCGTCATCCAGTTTTTAAGCTTCTCTCGGACTCTTCTATTCTTTACCACCGTCTTAGACAGAGACGTTTTATTCCGTTTTACTTTAGTCTTGACTGCTTTCCCATTTGGTGCTGTCTTGGCTGTGACAATTCGTCTACCCTCTCCTTACTCTCCTGTTCTTGTGGCAAATTGTTTTCATCTTTTTTAATTGCATAGACGACAAATATAACTCGGACAAATTGTTTCCTTAGCGAAGCAATTGCGAGAGAGCGCGTTCAGAAAACTTCCCGCTTTTTTTGAACAAATAATAGATTGTTGACTATCCAATCAGGGTTAAAAGAGACCAGGCAAGCCTATTGTTCTTAAGAGATATTACATACGGAGGAAGGCACTTATTAGTATTGAGGAACGCATTTTTACCTAGCTAGCTAGACACTTACTAGGCACATAATTAATTTGCAGGGAGGCAGTGACCAGGCACTTAATTTGTATGCAGGACACTTATAATAGTATAGAGAAAGACAGTTTTTAGTATGTAGGAAGACACTTCTCCGTATTAATAAAGGGAAGACAGAGGCAGACACCAAAAAGGCTTAAATCATCCCTTTATCACTACTAGTGTCTGAAAATAGTTTCTTGTGAATATTTGTTTTGCTAAAATGCGAAAAAGACCTTGGCTAGCCAGTTTTTGAGAATGTGTTCAATCCTAGACATATCTCTCAAAATGCGTCACAATGCCCGACAAAGTGATCATAGCCTTGTTTACTAAGTAGATCAAACATTTTGGGTTTTCCTCGGCGCTTCGAGGCTCTATCTTTCAAACATTTGCTAGGAAAACAGAGATGGAATTTTACATAAAACGGACTGCAAGAAGATAAACTGAGTAGAGTAAATGGCGATATGAAGAGGGAAGTTCTCCCACAATTCAAGCAGTTTCAAAGAACTATTCAAAAACAATCGAGAGACTTAAATCCTCATTTATGTTAAGGCATGTGTTCAAAACAAGGCCCAACTCTGCGCGAGTTCTGCTTTCATTTCCGGTTACGTACTTTCCGATAAGGAACAGATTTAAAATATAAACAAACAACTGTGTTGGATAAATCTGGCCACGGTTGTGGCAGGTTTAATGAAATCAAAGCTAACAGAATCACAACACATCGATATAAGTAAACCGATTAACCTACTGAATAAAAAATGAGGCGACAAAAATAATACTAACGAAAAGTCTTTAGAGAACATGTAGAGTCTACCATGTAAAAGAACTAGAAGTGAATACTGCCCAGTTCCTCAGCGGAGTTCAGCGGGGATTCTCATTTTAACGGATTGTTGCGATCGCGATCACTATAAATATTACCTCGGCACATTTAGGTCTGTTTTCATCTTCTGTGTTTGTATGTTTTGACTATCCCAATAAATGTCGACATTCCATTGTTAGTCAGGTGATTTTACTCTAGGAACTTGTTTATATTTAAGCTGAAAATTTGGCTCCTACCCTTCATTTCTTTCGAAAACAATGCATTTACTGCAATGAGCGACGTTAACTTTGTAGAAAACCGATCAAACTGGGTCTTCTTGAGTACAAATACCGTGAGATATTTGTACTCGGTTTGAGTGTTATTTGTACTCTACTGATTGAAGTTGAATAATAATTCCAAATATTCCACATCTGGCCTTAATTACGTCGGTTGAGGTTCTTAACTTTGAAAGCTGTTGTAGTCTCAGCCATTTCTCGTTTTAAAACTGTCGAATGCTATTATATCTTTCGACTAACTTCTAGAATATAATTCCCCCTTTTTGATACTAAATTGGAGAAATATGGGATGCAGATTAAGAAATCAAACTGACAAAAGTCATACTAACATGAAAAAAAAGGAGCCTGGGATCGCCCCATGTAAGGTGATCAAGCCAGTCTTGGATTCTGGATTCTACGGTGTGGATTCCAGATTCCAGGTAGAGTACTGTGGATTCCCTGTCAGTGGAACTTCAGGACTTCAAAGCTCAGGATTCCGGATTCCACGAGCAAACATTTCTCAGTCTAGAATCCGGATTTCCTTACATGGGGCGACTTTAAGGAAGCTTGGACTTTGGGAGTTAAATATAAAGAAATGTTCAGTTACGCCCAACGTTCTTCCTATTTTGTAGGCAATATTAGGATTGAGAAAGTTTTTATTAAAAGCAAATACCGTAGAAAACTACATAAAAGGTCTTAACGGAATCTTTAATTATTTTCTAGACTTAGCGTCCAAGAATGAAACCACTACAACGGCAACGCTTCCTCAGGACGCAAATAAAGTATCTAGTAAGTTTAAATTTGTGTAACCTTTAGGTCTATGACATTGATAATTATTTGTCAAAAGTATGAAGGAAAATCGCGATAATAATATCGTCAGTACGAGTAAGGCTTAGGCCAAACGTCGACTTTTTCATGAGACGGACAAAACCGTGGGCGAATTAAATTCATGAAAAGTTCGACATCTGTTTCAGTTAAGTTCTAACAAGCTCCATCCGTCTGCTTCAGACAAACATCAGATTCCCATTAGAAACATTCCATAAGAAAGGTAAATTTGCGTTAAGTCACGTGACCTGCTTGTATAAAGCTGTTTAAAGTGCCCATCACCTAAAATTTTTCTATTTTCTTATCTGAAACTACACCTTATCAAAATAACTTCTGCGAAAAAATTTTGCGATTTCAACCAAAGACGATTTTTTTAGAATTTTTTAAAAACGTTCAAATTTGCCCCCATTTTGACAAACCATTCGTCTTAGTCTTCTCTCGGACTATGTCGTATTTTAAGGAACACGTGACCTTATCGACAGGAAAACATTAAGAGTTCTGATAGGTTTTTCTTTTTCAGAAAAACTTTCTTCTTACGAAGACATTGTGATTCAATCCTTACTTGAAATTTATCGTTTTTGTGTACAGCTGGTGAAGGCAAGGTAATGCGAGTTCCTTAATTTACGTTACATGACGTCATATGTGAGCTTGCTAGTTTGCATGATCAGCGGCGCGAGTGTACCGCAAAAATGTAGACTTCAAAAATTGCTAAAAAAATCGCGTTTTGTTCAAACCGCAAAATTTTTTCGCAAAAGTTATTTTAATAAGGTATAGTTTCAGAAAAGAAAATAAAAAAATTTAGGTGATGGGCACTTAAAATTTGCAGTACTCGCACAAGTTTTGCGCAAAAGTAGAAAGTAGGATGAGAGTATGTTGAAATAATTCTTTGCTGACAAATGCGAAGATCTCTTCCATGAAATAAGATGCGTCTCGGCATATTTAGGCAATGAGCTCGCCGATCTAGAAATCCCTCTGGCGCAAGTTGCGGAAATCATAAGGTCAAAAGGAACCAGCTACCGTCTGAAGTTCCGTCCAGCTAAACTATAATTCTTTAATTTCAGACAAAATAGTTTCGTGTGACGTTACGTATTATTAAGTTATTGGCCTTGTTTTTGCTTTAGGTGACTCAAAAGGGACAACTGTTGGCCCCTCTGTGGCAGGAAACCTGCTGGTTGTGATTTTTGTTATCATCATCATGAATATGATTGCAAACCTGTGATCAGGCGTTCCTTTTCCTTTGGGGGAGCGCAAAAGTCAGCGGACAGGCAAAGGGGAGAAACTAGGAAACTTTTTCCCATCGCCTCCCAAACTAAAATAAGAGAAGAAGGACCGCCGCAACGCAGGTTAAAGCCAATTCAAAATTACTTAAAGCCACATTATCAAAGTAAGCCTTGGCCACCTTTTTCATATGAAAGTAAGTTTCCAGTCACATGTAACTCTTAACACATACCCATATAAAATATTTGTGAGTTAGCTTCGCTTTGATGAAGAGGCCAAGAATATCTCGGAAAAGAACTATTTCTATGCTTCATTAAGGGGGTTTCCTAAATTAACATGCCTGTCTCAAATGAATACCTGCAGCGTTTATTTCAAACTCATGCTTTTGTACCCGGTGTTTTTTAATAGCTGCAGGCCTGTTCATCACGTCCGGGTTTACTCAGAAAGAGTTTTCAATTTTTTCAATTCTTGAAAGCCATGCATCTTTTCTGTGTAGCTGAACTTTTTAAACCACAAATAAATGCTTGTGAGGCTTATTGCAACTTTCTCTTTAGATGGGCCGTGTACGTATTCGAAGCCTGGCCTTCAATTGATTAAACAAGGCATATTGCCTAGGGATCGTTTTGTAAGCTAGTTAAGGTGAAACATCACTTAGACAAATTTTAACTTAAGCGTTTTGGAAACTCCGTAGTAGTTCGTTAATTTTAAGGCTTTTTTAACACGAACATAGCCTGGAGAGGGTACACGTGCTGCCCGCTATGTTACACAGGGGACATAGGTTTATTGAGCTAAGCGTTATTCTCGCTTGTTGGGGTGGGGGAGAGGAATACTCCAGACAATTTACGATTGACACGTCACAAAAAGCTTACAAGGCAAAACGAGCGTTGCAGATTTTTGTGAACCAGTCTTTTTTATCTCTTTTCTACCCAGAGATACGATATTCCTTTCCACTGCCGTTTTGTTTAAACTTTAAAGGGTAAAGACGTTTGTTGCTTGATAAGAAATAGAACACAGCGGGTATAAACATATTCAACTTACCCATGTTTATAAACTTCACCACTGGACACATCAACTGAGGTCATTTTGATATCTTAGCTTTGGGAAAAACTGATTACCACCATTAAATCAAAGAAACATTGCTTATACAAGAACTGAAACCAGCTTTCAATGTAAACGTCAGTAGCGAGAAGCTGATGCTTCATTAATTTGCTGTTTAAGCTCTCTCTTCCTGCCTAAACAGCTGAACCCCAATTTTTGCAGCACTGCCTGAGCTCTGTTTGCTGGGCAACAACACAACAATGCAAATGGCCGATATGGCTCTGGACAAACTGTGGTCCATAGCGGCTTTTATTGAATAATAAATCCCATCATTTAATTCTGATACAATAAATTTGCCCAGTAAAGGTGCGGTCCATGAAAATCAAAAACGCGAACAAATGGAAGTACAAGCCACAGAGGATGGGACGCGGGGAGGAGGCGGGAGTTGAAAGAAACTTTTCCACCGCAATCAATCGAGGCGAATGTCGAGCACATGGACTGTTATTAGTCACATGAACTACGCACGACCCCGAGGAGGATTCTGTCATTACAATTGATTCCTCCCCTGTACCCAGTACCACTCGGCCGTAAAAACACAAGGCATAAAAGAGAAGACATGAAAATCCTATTGCAGGCAAACATTTCACTTCTTTTTTTGTGCTTAATCTTGGTCCTACTACCTTTTCACTGTACATAAGTATAGTTTTCAAAATTGGAACGGTACTTTTGAAAATGCATGTTGAGTAGCATACAAAACGTCAAGTTTATAAAGATGAGTAAGCTGAATATGTTTTGTCACCGCTGTTTGTGTTCTTTAAACGGTTTTCAGATTTTGAACGGTGGTTTTTTCTTCCGGTAAAATGCAATTAGTATGGAAGAGGAACCATACCCATGGATCACGTAGCCAAAAATGTAACTAATTTTAATGACTGTGGAGACTTATCCCAATTTAACCGGACTGCGCAGCTCAAAAATTATATTTTATTAGGAGGCCAAACCTACACAGCGTAAATTACTAATGGAAGTACCCGCTCCTCCCCACAGAGCTTGTAATTGTAAAACCAACAAAGTTAATGACTTCAGCAGTAACTATATGAAATTTCTTGATCCTACGGTGTTATTTGAATTGGAAATTGTGTTTAAATAAAGTTATGGCTTACTGTTCTCATAACTTTGTTTCATATTTAAAGTGCTTACTTCTAGATACAAATGTGCTAAGAATAGTCCACTTTATCGATGGCGAAGTTTGACTACAACTACCAGAATTCATTTTGTTTTGGCTTTCTTATTTAAATTTGTCCCGGTGAGGTTAAAAATAAAATTTAGAAAAGCCCTAATTTGCACAAGTAAAACAAAAAATTGAACGATTCTGGTAGTTGTGATAAAATGACGCCATCATGCAATTGTTCTATTTCGGCGAAAGTTCAAATATTTACATAGCAATTTTAAAAAGACATAAAATCGAAGGCAAGGCTGATCGGACAGCTGCAAAGTGCGATAGGTAATATAGAATACAGCACGCAATTGCTGTGAATATAGTGTCAAACAAAATGGATCCACATTACATTGGTGTAAGTCTTAGGGTGCTGTAGCCTGCAAAGCAGGCGTATTTTGCAGCGCAATCATGTTTTTTTTCCGGGAATAATGCTATCCCACCATCTTGGACGTTAAAACTGCCGGAGAGTTGGGGCAAGTCAAAAACTGAATTCAAAGGAGAGGATGATGGGATTACTGCGCTTTTCACAAACACGCAAACTCTAAGTTCAAGAGCCACCTTCACAATTGCGTTTTTCCCTGCCGTCAATCATAGTTACGATCACCAGCAAAGAACCTTGAAACACAGAAACACACAAAACGGATCGAAATACACCAATCACAAATCACAAACCACGACCTTTTGAACCCGTTAAAGTGAAGTTCTACTTTTTAAGAGGTCCGCTAAGATGATTCACGACAGCGAACAACGCAAACAACGGTAGTTGACTTTTGAACTTCAGAATTCGCGTGTTTTTAAAAAGCGCACTAAAATAGAGCAGAAGGAGGCGGTGGGGAGGAAAAAGTACGCCTGCTTGTAGTTGCCCGTAGCCATAAGGGACTTTAAGGTCCAAGTCACTTTTTCCAAGCTCCTGAGAAAGAGAAATAAAATTTCGTCTTTGCTTGTTTACGTCCTCCAATCGTCCTCTCTATAAAACGCGAAAAAAGGCATTTTCACGTCGTAGTGGTGCAAAAACGGGAAAGAAATGTACAAAAAAGTGTGATGCACGTGCGAAGTTGTTGTTTTGCTTATTAAACCTACTTTTTTTTTTTTACTTTCTTCTTGCCATCCTCGTTTTTGAATTCTTCTCGCCGGAGCAGTATGTAAAAGGTTCTGAAAGGATTCACGCCGGTGAACATGTGCCGCCTGTCACCCTTTGCAATTTTTAGCGTAGCTTAACTTCTAGCGTCCCCGAGCGTGACCCCATGGCTAAACAAATTTGGTAAAGTATCCATCCCAGAAAATTTGGTTATGACGTTAGCGTAGAAGGAGACGTACACTACATGTAAACCGGCGTCAAGTGTCACAAGATCTTGCACAAATTGACACTAGTCTGTCAGTTATATAAGTCATCCGTATGAAGATGAATTGACAGCTGTCTAAATCAGGCATCCGCTAACAAACATCAAATGGCCATTTTGTGAGCTCAGATGAAAGACCGGTCGTTTTGAGGAGAAATTTTGCATTTCAAACACCTTGCTCGTTTCGGCGGTAAATAGCATGGCCGCCAGGACTTACAGGGAGAAAAAAACAACAACAACAACAAAGCCGAGTCTTTCTTTAGACTAAATTTTAATGCCTACATTAACGTGGATAACAGGGAAAAAGCTAGAGCGAGAAATAAAACAACAACAACTAAGACCAATTTAGTTGGAAGAAAAACATCAAAATTTTATAGCGGTGCTACGAAAATGAGAAATGCCAGCTTCCACCAAGGTGAAAATGAGCGGCAGAGAAAAACCAAAGTGAACCAATGAACACAAACATTTCCTCCATAAAACGTGTAACTAGGGAGGTTCTGGAAGTTTCACGTTTTAGGGCCTTTTTGAGTGGAGGTGGGGGACCCTAGGTAGGTGAGATAACCCGCCAGTCCATATAATCCCTCATTTTAATTTGATCACGTTTATATAATAGGTGGGGCGACCCGCCAAGGCGGGCAGCCCGGTCTATCAGACCGGGTAACCCTCCCAGCTGGGCTCGAATTTTTCCATGTAAACGTCAAGGTGGGGTAATCCGCCTACCGGAGTCCCGATTCGTGATACATGAAATTCGCGTAGATTTCACTTTGGCGGTAGCTTTTCATCATTATTAAATGTACCAATAGAAAGCCACAGCACTTAAGGTTGCAGTTAGAGCAGCAAGTGGGTGTAGAAGAGCACTAATGGCCAAAAACACAAAAAAACACGTGGTTTGCCAGCGTTTTTCTTGGTACGTGCTTAGTGAACATTCAGTAATCTTAAGAAATTGACCCCTGTATGGTGTGGTTGTAAGACTGCGTGTAAAGGAGGCTTATTTTTTACCTCACCAAAGCGGGTTACCGCACCTATCTGGGGTCCCCCACCTTCATGTAAACAGACCCTCAGTCTTGCAAAACAACGGCAAAGAAATGTACAAAAAAGTGTTCTGCACGTGCAAGTTGTTGTTTGTTTGTTTTTGTTTGTTTGCTAATTAGACCTACTGTTGCAGTTGTTACCGTTCTCGTTGTCCTCACCATTTCTTAAGTATTAAACGATTTTATATTTTCGTGAGGCAAACTATAAATATTAAAGAGAGCTTCGCTTTTAGCCCTGGCTAAATCTATTTAGTATATACTAAAACAGTGGATAGTGTTTTTCGCGCGCTCTGATTGGCTACTCAATCAGTGAATGAAGTAAAAAAAATTGTTAAAACAATCGGAAGCTGCTTATTGGAAACAGGAATTTATGAATTCTCAAGATCCTAAGCAATTTTGGAAACTAACCAACAAGGTTCTAAGGAAAAGTAAGGATAGTACTATTGGTCCCATAATAACTGACAGTAAAGATGTATTAACCAGTGATCTAGAAAAAGCTTCTTACTTTAATGAGTTCTTTGTTAATATCAGTGAAGAACTTACAAAGAATTTAGAACCTCTTGATCCAAACACCTTAACTTCTTATGTAACCAGAGTCACTCCTACAAGATGCGACATAGAGTTAAATTGGGAGCTAGTAAAGAAGAAAATTGAAAAATCATCAAACCCGAATAAAGCTACTGGACCGGACCTGGTCTCACCCAAGGACCTTAAACTCCTTGGGGAATCTTCTATCCATAGCCTGCTGCCAGTTTTCAAGAAAAGTATAGATGATGCAGTTTTTCCAACAAACTGGAAACTCTCACGTGTTAAAGGAACAGTATCCCGTTACTGCGCATGCACCAAACTTTGATTTTTGGACAGGATGTCGCGAAATCAAAAGATGCGAGGAGAGTAAGAGAATCTTGAAAAATCCGTCTGCATCGCGCTTGGCCGGATTCAATACGACACTAAAACTTCTCAGGATTATAGATCAATGATATATTGTTCCTGTTAAGTTTCGATTTGGGCAAAATCTGGATTTTTTGGCGTTACTTTTATTGCCGTTGGCCGGGGGACCAAAAGATTGGAACCACTTTGATGCCGATTGAAGGCTTATTTCTTCTGCTAGCTTCCATACAAGCTCAGATAATTGTGAAAGGAATACGCAGAAATGAAACAGCAACAATAAAGACTGTAAGAAAGAAACCGTTGAGACATTGATGTGACTGAGGAGATCTTGTGGAGGGGAGCTTTGTGAAGCAGAATGTTTTGCAACAACGCGTTAGTAAACTTTTAAATGAATCTCCCTACGGCCGACAAAATCGAACAAACAGGCGCTACATGTTTTGAAAAACTAGTGACATGAAATCATGATATCATTTTTGACTAACCTTTGTGATGATTCATAGCGTTGAGATTGCATTTTTATTTATGTCTTTCAAACGTTTGAGGCTAGAACGCGAGCAAATCAGGCAGATATTACTGGACTTGGAGCTATTGACCTCTGAGACGAGTTTCAAATCAGAAAATATGTTTTTAAAGCGAGCGGAACGAGATTTTCGGGTCGCGAGGCGGCCCAGCTAGCGATAAAATCGCGATGAGTCTTCGAACCGCGAGCCAAATTTTTATATAAGACGAAAGACTTCTTCGAAAGTCTAAAATATTACTTGAGAATATAAACAACAAATCTCTGTCGGCGGTGCGGTCCGGAAGGAAATCTTGTCGAGTCAATTTGACAGTTCTATTGTCTTTTGAAGAAAAACCAGATGACGCTCGCGCGTGCGCATAATCGGGACACTGTCCCTTTAAGCCAGTATTTAAAAAGGGAGCACCCACTGATATGAGCAACTTCAGGCCCATATCCCTCTTAAGTATCCCAGGAAAGATTCTTGAAGACATAATAAGCAACAGCATAGACAATCACATTGAAACTCAGAACCTGCTTAGTGACAATCAATGGGGCTTTCGCAAGAATCATTCTACAGAGGGTCTCCTTCTTCATCTTACTGACACTTGGAAGTGGGCCCTAGATAATAATCTTAAAGTTGGTGTTCTGTTTATTGACTTCAGAAAGGCCCTTGACTCGGTGAACCATACCATCCTATTACAAAAGTTGAAAGCTGTTGGTATATCAGGAAATTTACTATCTTGGATGGGAAGCTACCTGTTAAATCGTAACCAATTTGTTCAAGTTAATGAAGTGAAATCAGACACTAGCTTTATCAAGTTTGGAGTACCACAAGGGTCAATCTTAGGACCCAAACTGTTCTCCCTTTATGTCAATGACTTTCCTGAATCTGTAACCTCGGGAGAACTTTATATGTTTGCTGATGATACTACCATATTTACCATAAGTGATAATATTGATACTATAATTAAGGCCATGCAAGTTATACTAGATCAAGTTCTTAGTTGGTGTGGTGCTAACAGATTGATTGCTCATGAAACTAAGTCAGAAGCCTTATTATTATCTAAACAAAGATTCATTGGTCCATTGTTGCCTTTGAAGTATGGTGAAAAATTTATTGAATTAAAATCATCATGTAAATGTCTAGGAGTAACTATAGACAGTAATCTTTCTTGGCAAGAACACACCAAAAGTCTGTTAAAATCTTTTAATAAGAAAATAGCAGTCCTCAGAAGAATTAAATTCTTGCCATCATCCATTCTACAGACCATTTATTTTAGGACTGTACTTCCAAGTGTCTTATATGGAATACTAGTATGGGGTTCCTGCTCACCTGCACTAATGGATGATCTTGAGCGTGCTCATATACGAGCTTCTAAACTTATTTTTAAACTTTCAAGGAATTCGAATGCTGATCAATTAAATAAATTGAAAGGATGGAACAATTTATCATTTTACTACACTAAGAGACTGTTAGTAGAAGCGTATAAATCCTACTATAGATGCAATACCAATGTTTTAAATGATCTAGTAATGTTAAAACAATCATCTCACTGCCTGAGGAAATCAATGAATATTGAATTTCCAAGTCCCAAAACAGAAATTGCAGGCTGACTTTTAAGCATAGAGCTGCCATTGCTTGGAACTCACTTCCTGATTCGATCAAAAAGTCTTCTAGCTTAGAATGAATTAAAAAAAGACTTAAATCTAGCAAGGACTTAATTAATTCTATAAGCTATAATAAGGAATCTTCCATGATAAGAAATAGGAATGAGGAATTTCTTTATTAATCTTATTTATATTTGTACTGTTATTATTATTTATTATTTAACTTCTGTTGATTTTCTATTTATTCACATGTACATACTTTAGTTTTTTTTTAGCAAGTAGATAGGCAGGTCCACATCAGGACTTCAG